TTGAGTCTTTTAAATAGTCTTAAGCATGCTACTCTTAATAATTTTAAAACCAATTATATTCTCTATTTAATTAAAGATACTGTCTTGCGGTTGTATAAGAAAGATGTAACTATTGCCTTTATGTGGGTACCCTCACATAAAGGCAATAGTTAGTATTACTGGTAATGAAATAGCGGACAAAGCTGCATATGAAGGGATTAACACTCTTAATGTCAGAAATGTGGTACATGTTCCTATGACCGATTATTATTATAATATAAATAATTCAATAAAAGATATATGGGCAAATTTATGGAAAGAAGATCAAAAACTTAAAGGAAAATGGTATGGAAGTATACAAGAAAATTTACTGAGAAGACCCTGGTATGAAGATTATGAGTTGGATACAGTTAGTCGTGAGTTCGTTACCACAATCAACAGATTGCGTTTTGGTCACAACACTGCACCCGCACACCTCGCTAAACTTAATATTATAGATAACAATGTTTGCTCTTTCTGCACTAACGAGATCGCAGATATGAATCATATTTTTTTTAAATGCCAAAACCAAATTTTCATTTTTAATAGACTACTATTAGCAAGTGAAATAATGGAAGTTAGTGATCCCTCCCGCCGCCAGTTGTGTGATTTGCTCAAAAACAAAAAGTGTTATAGTGCATTATATAAATACGTTAAAAATACCGTAGGGAAGATTTAAGAAAACAAGTGGAATGTTGGAATAAGAATAACATGTGAAATTAAATGAAGTGAAAATAAGTGAAATTTAGTGACCGAAAATAAGATTTGGCTTAAAGGTCTCGTTACTAGGCCATAAAATAAAAAAAAAAAAAATTCCTAATGTCTCTTTTATAAACAAATAAAAGTTAAAACTACAATATTATTGTAAATTTGCAATTATAAGCTGCAAAACGGACATTAGAATGTCAGCAAGGTCGGAACAATTTTCGATTTAAGTGGAATTTACGGAAGGTGCAAAGTGAATATATGAATTTTAATTGAATGTTTAAATTAATTATGGTTTGTTTCATGTTTTCTCAGAAATTTAAGGCTTCAAAAAATACAATATTTTTAAATTGCATAATCGCGATATATAATAATTAGTAGTACTCATACTTTGATATTTTTAGGATTTGACCTCACAACTAATCTGCAAAATGAAGAAGCAACATATTTTGTTACCGCTTAGAAGAAACAATAGAAATAGTACTGTGGATTGATAAATAAAGAGTGAAAATGAGGTTGACTAGAAGTTGATAAAGTCCAAGGAATTAAAAAACAATAGAAAAAAAAACGTAGACTAGTGTGAACACTGAAATTAGAGTTTGATTTAAGCTTTAATTAGGTTTGGTGTCTGTGCTTGAACATTTTTAATGTCAATTTGAAAGCAGATTTATATATGTGTAGATTTTATTAGTGATTTGCTACTAGTTGGAATTATCTCTGTTCATGTCAAACAAACAATTTCAGTTTAAGTTAGAGTCATAAAGGTTGATTGTTTATAATAAATTTATACTTTTAGAAAGTGAGAATTGAAAGGCAGCAAGTACTCAATGAAATGAAAAGAGGGATTAATAAAAATTATAAAATAGAAACTTAGTCTGGTATGAAATTATAACCCTTAATCAACCTTTGATTCCATATTGATGCTCCAACATCTTAGATATAAATTTAAGTTTTATGCTGATTTTAAGTTACTATTTATGTCACTAATTGACCTACTAATAGTTAGGAATATTAAACAAACAGGTAGCAAAATAAAAATGTTTCAGTTATGGTTATTTTTTATTAAAATAAGGCACCAAATATCTTCCTTAACATAATGCAGTCTACATAGAAAAATAAGCATATGTAACAACTTATTAAACAATACAGACATTACTACTGAACACACACAGGTGCACCAAATTCAATGCATTACTACCTAATGTAGATGTATTCATATTTATATATGTAGATAATTAACTAATAAATGTAAGTGTTAATTTGCAGCAATGTCAATATCTTGTTTGTGTGCTGTTATATACAAAAAATTGTTCAATTCATAAAACCTAACGTTAGATGTTGTGATGATTTCATAAAATTACTATGATACCTACAGTTACTATGAATATATCCTGGGTGATTGTAAATAATAATAGTTATTGTAAAGATATAATTCTTCCCAAAATCTACAAATGCAGATTGTTTATAATAATATCTCATTATTATTCAAACTGCTGAACTTATTAAGATTAAATGTGGAAGAACATAGTTTCAGTTACTGTTTCCTGTTCATGAGGTTATGTTACTTAACCAACCATTATTTCATACTCCACTTGTCTTATTTTTTACATTATTCATAAAATGCTTCATTCTCCATTATCAAATTCATTTTCAGGTACATAATATAACACTTAAATTAATTAAAAGATAAGACTTTAATAAAACTTGTCCATTTGTGGTTTTTTTTTAGTATTTTTAGTTGTCTTATTAGCTTCTCTTTTTCTGAAAAGAAAATATTTTAGTTAGTACTTTGATCAAATAGAAAACTGACAAACTAAATTGTAAGATCGGTCCAAGGTTTGTTCAATAGGTAACTTTAATATTAAAACTCTTTACTTAATTCTAAACTTAAAAATATACTAATTTTGTCGCTTTGCTGCTATTTGTCAATTAAAGTTTTTAATCCAACCAAACAATGTCAGTAACTCCCAAAGGACTTGAATTCAAACTTCTCGTTCATTAACAATATTATAATAACTTCTCTAGTATATTGACTTAGTAAATAATTAAAGAAAATACCTATCTGCTTACCATTACATAGCATTGCTCACTAGATTTTATATTTCCAAAGTTCAAAAAGTATAAATCCACTTTATTTGATTAATTTAAATCAATATTATATCATTAGCTTCTATTATAATTACAATAAAATATATTTAGAACTTCTAATTATGTTCATTAGTGACTGCTTTCTCATCTGAAATATACAAATAAAATGTACAATCATTTTACTTTGTGATTACAATATTAAATGATATATGTATTTTTCAAATTAAAGAATAATTTCATGAACTTACATGCAATATAAATATCAATAAAATATATCCAATATAACTAGGATTTACCTCTACTAATTTGCTGATTTTCTTGATATTTTCATATTTATCTGTGTCTATTATGTTATCCTCGCATTGATTCATAGAAAAACTAAAACTCTTAACTTAAAAATATTAACTCTAGTTTAAATTATTATAATTACACGAGAACGTTAAAAAAAGACAGATAACAAATTAAAACCATTTCGTTAAAACGTCCAAAATATGACATGTTTTTAAAACGGTAGCCATTAAAGATGGCAATAGTTGTACTGAATTATTGCAGTGCGTTTTCCAATTACAGCACTAGAGCGCATTTTGCGGCATAATGCTCAACGTTGAGTGTTCCAACTACAGCAACGCTTCGCACAATTGACTATTGAGCAGTTTGAGCACTCTCAAAACGAATGCTCTCGCAAACAATACCAACACAGTGACAGAAAATTGACCAGTATTTTTCTTTAAGTTGGCATTTATCGAAATTTTCGTTAGTAAATATTATTTATTGTTGAAAAATTTGTAAGGCTTTCGTTTCGTCGTAGATTTTGAAAATAATTAAAGTTATTTCAAACTGCTAAAAAAATAAATATTAGTATGGATGAAGGTATAAATAGTTACTTTTTTAATATTCCACATTTAAAATATGAATACAATTTTATTTTAAAATTCGGATCTGTAAACAAATTTACTTTACAGGATTATACTTTAGAAAAAATTGCAATGGTTTTGAAAAAGTATATATTTTTTTAGAAATCATTAAAAAATATTACTCAAAACGTAAATGATGTAAACTTCTTACATGAAACTAAATATTTTACTGTTAATTTAGCTTGTTAAAACCTTATATTCTTTAAAGGTTTTCTCTTATTTCAGTAAAAAAAAAATTAATGAAATAATTTGATTATTAAATTAAGCGTAAAAAGTTTTCGACCAATTATTATTGTTTACCACATTATTTATACATTAATAAGGTTGCTAACTCTATTCAGACCATTTTTTTGTCAACACTGACTTAGCGCACTCTGCTGATGCATTTGAAAACTAATTCACGTTCCAATTAAGCTTCAGCATTATGCGGCATTGTGCGGCACTGAGTCGAAAAATACTCTGTAATTGGAAAACGCACGCAAACAGCAGCTTTTGAGATCACGCTAAAACATGGCGGAGAAACTCCGTTTTTTCTACACTGCCGAAACATTAATTGGCCGTTGGCTAGCGAATAACGTAAGCGTTAATGTGTGTCTTTTCGTAGCACTGTCATGGCGTCGCTTATTGTATCCCGACTCACGCCTTTAGGGCCTAGGCTACCGACTGTCATTTTCATGCAAATTTAGTTTTCGACTTTCTACATACACTACTGTTAAGCCATCTTGGCTAGACACCCTGGTATCAAGACCTTTAAGCCAATAATATATATAAAAGTGTAATTGTTAAGATGGGTTTTTTCATTTTTTTGCTACGGTTTTTTGGTATAGCTTATCTCTTTAAAATAAACGTAAATTAATGATTTTTAAATATCAATAATATCATTAGAGAATATTATCGGGATTTCTGAATTAATCTTGAATGTATTGTCTGTATGTCGCTACTATAATGACAATTGACATTGCACACAGTTTTGACGTATTTCATGGTTCTCTGGCGGCTTAGTCAAGATGCCTTAAGAATACAGAATATAGTACTTAGTATAAATGCTTGATATATCTGTTGAGGTTGATGATTGAGACTTGACAGTTTTCTGTTTAGTATGGCGGTATATTTCAAAATCCAATATTATTTCTTCTATGTATTTGCGTTGCTTAGTAACCAATGATTTACATTGATACAATTACAATATTCTTAGTTAAATAAAAATAATTCATGGTTATTACAATATATACTTAATACTTAATGAATGTAATGATACATTAAGAAAAACCTATAATGCGGTTTAGATATTTTAAAACCATATTAGAGTCGCAGGTAATTCATGTACATAAAGTTATTTCATGAATGATACTGCACTGTGGACTAGGTTCTTTAAAATGTATTGATTATTTGTATCTTTTTTGTTTTTCAGGACACGGATTCTCCAATTGCCGATATAAGTTGGTCACCAAATAATACAAAATTAGCGGTGGCGACTTGCGAACGGGTCGTGCTTCTCTTTGATCGTGATGGGATTCGACGCGACAAATTTAGCACCAAACCAGCAGATCCTTCCGCTGGAAAGAAATCTTACGTGATAACAAGTAAGAATTTACTAATTTTTATGTTTAAGAAAATTGCAAAGTTTACATGACATCAACATTTCTATCTTTAATTGCTAATTTTATTTGTTAGCTATCGCTTGTATCGTATTAACAGAAATAAATAACTGATAGATAAATTCACGCATAAATACTTTGAATAGTAGTAGTAGTGAAATTTGATAATTATAACTTATTTATGTATATGAAACACGTGCCCGTGACTCGCTACACCAAGCGAATTACTGGAGATCGTCACGAGACAAACTCAGGTGACCCAAAGTTAATTAAAATAATATAAGCTTTTGTTTTTAATACTCTATAATATTCAGACTGATTCATATATACGGACTTACTTGACTTATTTTCTTATATCCCCTTGGTCAGCAGAGGCCATCCAGACATACCATCACCTTCTTTATATAATCAATTATAATTAAGATTCAAATTCTTTATTTCCAAAGGTATAGTGTTCAGCGAGAATTCGGAACTCCTAGGGGTGGCACAAAGCGACAACATGGTGTTTGTATACAGGGTGGGTGCCGACTGGAGCGGCAAAAAAGTGATCTGTAATAAATTCCCATTAACCGGAGCGCCGTTGCATCTATTGCCCGCTGAAAATGGGTTTTTCACTGGAACCAGTGATGGGAAAATAAGGTACAATGTTCTATGCCATAACCGTTTTATTGTTATAACGATATAAGCATTAATCCATGCAATATTTCCTAAGACTTTAAATTACCCGTGTGGATGTATTTTTAGATTATTAGACTGTAAGAGTAACAAGAGTTCTAGTCTTTGGTCGGTCGGCACGTGTTGCGTGTCCCTTGCCCGCGGTCAAGACGCTACTTTGGCGTCGGGTCACGTTGACGGTACACTTTACCTCAACGGAAGGCTTCTGCTGCGGTACGCCTTGCCACCTACGGCCCTTGTTTTATTACCGCCCTATGTGAGTAAGTTTTAAAGGAATAAAAAACGTTGAGGCTCCTATTTCACAGCTAATGTTGTCTTCAGCGTTGACATCACTTTTAACCTTTACAGAAAAAAATCTGTTCACTCTTGAAACATTATTATAATTTGATTTAATTTTTAGGGTAAGATCCAAAACCGAGACTTAACGCTACGTGTATTCCCGTATGTCGAAAACATATTGGATTTTGACGTAAGAGAGTCATACTTTGTGCTAAGTCTCGTTTCGGAATCTCATCCTAGAATTATAATTAGAATAAAATATTGTATATAATCTGATGTAAATTCAATAAGAAATTGTAATAAAGTAACTTAACTTAATTGTAATCTTTATTTTTTTAGATAGAATATTCAACTACACACATAGCTATAACTTCTTCTAAAATTTAGCGGAATTTACGAATGATCTAAGCATAGAATCGTTAATATTTTATCTTTGTTACTCCTAAGCTCCTAGTAGGCTCTTGTGACGGTAGAGTGGCAGTGTATGAGGCACAACGAGGCGCCCTTTTACGGAATATTGAACCTGCCTTACTTCCGGAAAAGAAGGACTTCTTAGCAGTATCACCTAGTCCATCAGGACAGGTATTGTATTAACACCAATTTTAATTACAGTAATTGGAATACCTCCATGGTTCCATATTGAATTCGGAATCTAGGACAGGTTTGATTCAAAATAAAACAGTTTAAAACAATATTAGTAAAGTAATATATGTTTATCTACATGAGTATGTTGCGTTTGTTTGCAAGAAAGATAGAAAAGAAAAAAGAAGAATAGAAAATCTAAATACATTATTACACTTCTATATTACTTTTTTTATATTTAGACCTCTAACAGTCTACCAACCACGCGATTGGGCAGATCCCTATTCTATTCTGATCTATTTCCCCTTTTATAAATTAAGCTAGGTTTGAAGGGCTTGGCGTCTCCCACCGGGCCCGGGACTCCGCAAATATCCTTAAGATATTTATGTGCGGTTCGGATCCCAGTGGCCGGCGGGACTCGCATCCCCTCTTGAGCTATTATTTTCATTGACATATTTGACAATTCTTATACATACATGTAGGCTATATAATAAGCTATGTGGGGGTTTCCAATACCCACTTCTTTATTAAAAGACACTATTAAATTAACGTGGCAACGAAGAATAATTAAATTGTGATATATTTGAAATTCCTTTTAGACGGTTGCATTAGGAATTTTTGACGGATGTCTGATTGGGGATATCAAGGAATCTGGTGCTGTGGACTTTACGCCTGTTAATATTGACAATTTGTATGCTGCGCGTGCGCTGACCTGGAGCGGTGATGGGACAAAGCTCGCTATTGCTTCCCAGACAGGAGCGGTTATCGTGTTGGAAGCTGTACTTAAGTAAGTTTTTATTTTATAAATATATTATTATAACTGTTTAATATGCTAAGATTACTATCGAAAAGCGATTATCAAAAAAAATATCATTATACTATACTACTATATACTACTATAATTGAAAACTGTTACGAAAATTAGAATTTCATATTCTGTCTCGTTATTATAGATATATTATATTATCATAACGTTATTATAGAATGGTTTTGACATTTATAATTTAAATATGCTTAATCTGTACATGTACACAAACAAAATGAGTTCATTTTAAATATCTTGAAATATGTTGTTAAAGGTGTTGGGTTTGGCGGGAATCGGTTGAAGTACAGCATGTAAGCGCTCGCCAGTTATTATTACGCCGATTGGCGGGAGACGCCCCAGCTGTAACGCTATCTTCTAAGCATGCTGATATATACACGGTCAAGTTTATAGGTAACATATATATATATGTACATTGTACATAAACTCTTATGCTATTACGCATTCGACTGTCCATTTAGTAGTTATTCATTATTCGAATATCAATCGACTCGTATGTACTAAGGAATATTATTTGTTACCAAAACAAACCATCGATGAAATCTTTATAGAATCACAAATTAACATCTATCGCTATATAGATTTACGTCTAAACTTTTATATACTCTATACCCCCCCCCCCCCCCCCCCCCCCCCCCCCCCCAAAAAAAAAAGAAAAAAAAAAAAAAAAAAAAAAAAAAAAAAAAAAAAGGAAAGGGGGGGGGGGGGGGGGGGGGGGGGGGGGGGGGGGGTTATGGGGGGATTATTTTTTGGGGGGGGGGGGTGGGGGGGGGGGGGATATAATAAAAGAAAAAAAAAAAAAAAAAGAGAGGGGGAGGAGGGGGGGGGGGGGGGGGGGGGGGGGGGGGGGGGGGGGGGGCGGCGCGCCGCGGGGGGGGGGGGGGGGGGGGGGGGGGGGGGGGGGGGGGGGGGGGGGGGGGGGGAGTATGTTAAAGGGGGGGGGGGGGGGGGGGTTTTTTTTAATAAAAAAAAAAGAGGGGGGGGAGGGGAGGGGGGGGGGGGGGGGGGGGGGGGGGGGGGGGGGGGGGGGGGGGGGGGGGGGGGGGGGGGGGGGGGGGGGGGGGGGGGGGGGGGGGGGGGGGGGGGGGGGGGGGGGGGGGGGGGGGGGGGGGGGGGGGGGGGGGGGGGGGGGGGGGGGGGGGGGGGGGGGGGGGGGGGGGGGGGGGGGGGGGGGGGGGGGGGGGGGGGGGGGGGGGGGGGGGGGGAAGAAAAAAAAAGGGGGGGGGGGGGGGGGGGGGGGGGGGGGGGGGGGGGGGGGGGGGGGGGGGGGGGGGGGGGGGGGGGGGGGGGGGGGGGGGGGGGGGGGGGGGCGGGGGGGGGGGGGGGGGGGGGGGGGGGGGGGGGGGGGGGGGGGGGGGGGGGGGGGGGGGGGGGGGGGGGGGGGGGGGGGGGGGGGGGGGGGGGGGGGGGGGGGGGGGGGGGGGGGGGGGGGGGGGGGGGGGGGGGGGGGGGGGGGGGGGGGGGGGGGGGGGGGGGGGGGGTTTTTTTGGGGGGGGGGGGGGGGGGGGGGGGGGGGGGGGGGGGGGGGGGGGGGGGGGGGGGGGAGGAGAGGGGGGGGGGGGATAATATCGGGGCGCCCCCGTTTGTGTGGGGGTGTGCGGGGGGGGGGGGGTGTTTTTTTTTTTTTTTATTGTTTTGGGGGGGGGGGGGGGGGGGGGGCGGCTCTCCCCCCCCGCGGGGGGGGGGTGGGGGGGGGGGGGGGGGCGCCCGCCCCCCGACATTTTATTTTGGAAAAAACCCTCCCTTAGACTAGAAATATTGGGGGGGGGGGTTTTTTGGGGGGGGGTTATAAATTTTGGGGGGGGGGGGGGGGGGGGTGGGGGAAGTAGAGAAAAGCACACCCCGCCGCGGGGGGGGGGGGGGGGGGGGGGGCGCCCCCCCCCCCCCCCCGGCCCGCAATTTTTTTTTTTGTTGTTGGTTTTTTTGTTTTTTGGGTTAGGGGGTAATTTGTGTTTGTGTGGGGGGGGGGGGGTGTTTTTCCCCCCGCGGGGGGGGGGGGGGGGGGGCCCCCCCCGCGGGGGGGGGGGGGGGGGGGGGGGGGGGCCCCCCCCCCCCCCCCCCCCCCCCCCCCCCCGGCCCGGGCGGGCCCCCCCCCCCCCCCCCCCCCCCCCCCCCCCCTTTTTCCCTCCCCCCCCCCCCCCCCCGGGGCCCCGGTTGGCGGCCGGTTTGCTATGGTATTTTTTGGGGAAAAAAAAAAGAGGTTTCCTTTTGGTTTATTAATAATTAAAAGGGGGGGGGAGAAAAAAAGAATTAAGACCAAACCCCCCCCCCCCCCCCCGGGGGGGGGGGGGGGGGGGGCGCGGCGCCCCCCCCCCTTTTTTTTTTTTCCTTATTATTAGTTCCGGGGTGGGGGTGGTTTTTTTTTATTTATATATGAAAGTAATTTTTTTCAAAAAAAATTAAAAAAAAATTAATTTAAAAAAAAAGGGGGGCGGGTTTTTGGGGGGGGCGCGGGGGAAAAAATTTTTTTTTTTATTAAAAAAAAAAAAAAAAAATTTGGTTTTAAAAAAAGGGGGGGGGGGCGCGCCCCCCCGGCGGGGGGTTCTTAGACCAATAGTTGTTTTAACTCCCATTAGGAAATAGAGCTGGTCACATTTAGTCTGTTTCACGGATGATTTTTAAATGAAGGATAGCATGGGGGAAAAGGGGAAAATTTTTAAAGGGCCTCCACGCGCACTCGCGAGCCTTCTGGCATTAAGTATCCATGGGCAGCTTACTCATCACAACATCAAGTGAGTCACCTGTCGGTTTGCCCTCTGTCCTATTAGCAAAACATACCAACGCACATGTTAGTACAGTTATAGACAATACTTTGCTTGACCTATATTGCGGTGATAAATGAAATATAACATATATTTCATTTATTTTATAAATAATAAAATAAGGATGGAAGCGAATAGTTAAACACATTTTATATCGTAGTAACAGAGTTATTTATAGTTGATAATTTGTCGAAAGCCCCGTTCAACCTTATATCTTTCTGCAACCTGACTCTGTTGCGTTGAATAAAAACGTCGACTTGTGTGAATGATGTTATTTATTAATATATCCGAGATTATTTTAATGAGTAAGACTCATTTGAACCCCGTTTTATTTAAATGAGTAGTTTTACAAATTAAATAATTATTTTGAAATGTTTTATTGCGCAGGTCAAGATTGGTACGCAATATGTCGTACTGCGAGTACGCTGATACTCTGCGATATAGCACATGGTCTAACAAGTGAAGTAAGGAACATTTTGAGATATACATAGTTTCATTATCAAAATTGTTTATTTTATACAATATAGTAACTAGAATTATATACAGTGTGTGAGCCCATTTTAAGTAAATACAAACAACTTGTGTGGGTGGACTCGGCTCTTCATTGTAATAAATAGGTAGTATAAACGGTCCTATACTATGGGTGCGTTTGTGTGTGTGTATCTATACAGTACCAACATAATTTTTTAAACCACAAGTTAACCAAACATGGCATGGCAAAACGGACACACATTATATGCAGCAGCCAATTAAAACGATATATATGCCAAGCTAACATAATATTTTTAAAGCATAGTATTTTAACATGTCCGACGTATAGATGTAAAAAAATGGAATTTTAAATGGATGTGTGACTATAATTAGTTTTATATTTGAGGCGTATTATAGTTATAATAGTATTATTGAAGTTATACTTCTTTAGGCGCGTTATGAAAAATTGATGAGAGTAAAATTTTTCGATTCGCGCGCAACCCTTTATACTTGCCCCAAATTAACAGAATGAAGTTGCCCACGGAAGATGCTACGGCATTGGACCTAATTTAAAAATAACGTTCGAATAATAATATTATTTATGTTACACTTAATGTAAGAGAATAATAATAAATATTTATTTATTTAATTTTTTAAATGTAAACTGAACTTTATTGACTATAATGACTCCTTTAGACCAGTGCCGATAATTTTTTGAAACCTAAAAAAATAATAGTAGGATAAAGCCTCTTGGGAAAAGGAGGAGAATATTATAAAAATTAAAGGAAAAATAAATTACGGGCGATCTGAGGTCGGGAAGGGGTGGGGGGAAGTTTAAGGGAAAAAGGGTTTTTTATCTCGATTTCCGGCAAAACTAAAGTCCTATCGAAGAAAGTTAAATGGCAAAGTGGTAGGTAATAAAAAGATCTAAAACTTTTGTATTCACACATTTTTCACATAACCTCAAAATTTATCTGAAAAATTCAAAAACAAGTTTTTGGTTTTTAATTTTTATCTTTTGTATTAAGTTTTTTTAGTAAAAATATTTAATTTAAATATACAATGGCAAATGAATATGGTAGATACCATGGATGGGAACTGGGGAGCGTATTTACGCAGCTGTTGGAGGAGCGTGTCTTATACATCGTGCGGGAGAGTTAAGCGTGGTCGAGTATGGACTAGACAAAGTGTTACATACGGTATTTAAACTTCTTTTTATCAAAAAAAGTAATGGCGCTACAAGCTTTTAGGTCTGGACCTTATTGTTATATCTGTTTCGTGGTTATTTATTGTTTCTTATTGGCAAGTAGGTGTTTAGCCTTCTGTGCCGGACACACGCAGTCCACTTTTTTGGGTCTAAGGGTCTTTCATCGTACGAACGAATGTTGCCCACATAGACAAAAACTCCATCGGTGCACAGCAGGGGTTCGACTCTTCGACTCCACTTGGCTAATACTCCTCTGTTTTTGAAAATAAATATAAAGTCTTTAACGAAGACTGTACCAGTACTAGTACATACTTAAATTTAAAGTTAGTTTTGAAATGCAATAAATATAAACTTAAAAAAAAATGCTATTTAAATTACAGAACACAAGCCTTAGACTTGATTTTCTATTATTAAAAATAAGTAAACTATTATTACATTATATCAAGAAAGCCTCGAAGGTTGAAGGGCCATGTCCGTTAAACACGGAGACGACAACTGAATTAGAACTACACATTAATAACAATATTAGTTTTTTTTTTAATTTTTTAAACGTATAATAAAAGGTTCGAACGGAGCGCGTAAATCCGCACGTACTCAGCGTGCGTATCAACGAGCGAACGCAGAATGGAGAGCGAAAGCACCTCGCGTATTTGTTGGACCGACAGACGTTGGCTGTTGTTGATCTTATAACGGGTAAGACCGAAAAAGAAAAAATATACGCACAAATATTTATTATAGGCAAGAATATTAAGGATTTTTTTAACAGATATAATGTATTGATATGGCTGATGTGTAAATTGTATAGGTACTATCAGCCAGTGACATTATTTTAGTTTTTTTAATATTTTTTGAATTCAAATTGTCAAGCCTTATTAATAAATAAATAGTATACAAATAATGCATAGAATATGTATTAATTGATACTAATATAACGTGTGTAGGAATGCTTCTCTGGAACTACTAACCTGTTTCTAAAAAAGAAATTTAAGTATTATTGATTTAAATTTGATAAATATTTATGTTTTAAAATTACTGTTCGTAAATTTTGCCGTTACCTAATAAGTGATTTTTTTGATTTATTTTAATAAAAATACTAGATTCAATTATATTTATAAGATACGCTTGCTGCACGTTTGAATCGATATTACATTTGGTAACACAGACATTAATTAAAATTAAAAGTTATTTTGAAGCCGTGAAACCAAAGCAAATATACCAAATAAATAATGTATCTTATAAGAATAAAAATGTATTATATAAGAATAGAATTAACTATAATAAAGCATGCCCTCTCATAACATTGCTGTGCCTAACCAAGCTCTTATTGTAATAAATTATAACGTGTCACGTGTAAAATATGAACATAAGGAGTGCAATAAAGATTTGAGTTTGATTATTTAAAAAAATTCTTTAGTACCAAAATTTCGATTGAAGTAACTTGCAATTTACTGATTGAATTGGATGATCTACGAGTATATAGATCTAAAACAATATATCATTAGAGATAGTTAAATATCGAGAACTAAAAATTAAAAAAAAAACCCTGTACTGAGGAATGTGAGGCAATTCCAGGAGTCCAGCTAGGTCAATGGTGGCACGAAGCCCGTATCGATTGGCTGGAGCTTAATGAGAGCGGGCATTTGTTACTGCTGCGGGACACGCGCCGCCGGCTTGCGCTCTTGAGACTTGATACTACCGAGAAGGTAGATATGTTTCGCTAATTAAATAATAATCCAGCGGCAGTATAACCTAACTCCCATGGGATTTAACCTCGAGCATGTTTTATAGTACATAAAGACATGTCATATAAAATGTACATGTGTGTATGTACTTACCTCATTACATACAAGAAAAACGTTGTAAACAAAACGTAAGAATCGTATATTTTTTAAAAGAAAACGAGAAACATAACTAATACTACTATCCCTTGCATTTTGTTCTCACTAAAACGCAAGTGCGTTCTTTCATTTTGCCATACTGCTGATAAGGGGTAATTTTATTTAATATGTAAAATTTGGAATGTATGTTAATATATTTCACGTTATTTGGAGACATAACTCATAGTTGCTTTACAATCATCTTATAAAGCAAAACTACTTGGCGATAAAAAAGAGGGACGGAGTTTTTGCCCCCCACTATAAAAAAGTTTTACTTGCCAATAATTTTCACGTCCGTTCTACGCTTGTGATTTGAGAATTGGCAGTAAATGTAAATTTGATGGCATTTTTTTTTTATTTTCCTATGATACATAAGAAAGTGGTATTTCGATTTTATCTTTGACATGAAATTCCTGTCATCGTGACAGATGGCAGTGTTAGTTAAACTTGTCTAGTTGAATTTTAGCCATATCTGAAATTTATAAAGCGCACTTGGACCTAGCACACACGTTACCTAAGTTTTGTTAATCAAAACATCGTAAAGCTTAGGTTTCCTAGAAAAGCGGTGCCGTTATCCAACGGCCGTAATGTAATGTTGGACGACGTCACCCATACGTTGTCTATAAATAACATCGGAGTAGGTTTTCTAGAGTGTCACCGTAACGTCAAATAGTGGTGCTGTCATTTGCTTGACGGCCGTCATAGCGGTGATAAACATTAGTTCAACGTTTTTCGCGTGTAGCGTGCCCATATTTAATTAATACCATGAGTGGAAACGTGACTTGGACAAGCGAAAATGAAAATGAGCGATTTTTTTTGCATTATGTTTAAAAGTAAAGGCGGCCGTTATTAACAACCGTAAAATGACGACCGTTAGTTAACGGCACCGCTTTTCCAGGAAACCGAAGCTTAATAACCGTAAAATGACGGCCGTTAGTTAACGGCACCCCTTTTCTAGGAAACCTAAGCTTAAGATGCTAAGACTAGCATGCACTCAGTTAATTTTTAGAGTCCTGAAATTACATAGTGTAAAAAATCGTATAACGTTTGTTTGACGTAAGCAAAATCTATGCTTAGTATAAGTATGGTTAATAAATCTCAGTTTTAGAATCTACAGAATAAACGTACCAATAAATCGACTGAGCTATGAGGGTAGTTAACAAGAATTGTGAATGTAACTTAAAATGGATTTTTCTAGGAAATAATCGCGAGTGGCGTGAGTTTCGTTCAGTGGATTGAAAATAGCGATGCGATTATAGCTCAGACGCCTACACATTTACTGATATGGTACGTGAATTCTTAGACAATTTAGAGTGCAGATGTATTTATGTAAATATCCCTTATAATTTACTGAAACATATATTTCCATTATGTAAAATAAAGTCCGAAGCACGCTACATATATTAATATAGTTTTCATATACATAAAGCGAAGTGGTTTTGTGTTGATACACAGACTTAATATTTCTTCTTCTGATTATATTGAAATCACATAGTGTAAAATTTAAAAATATCAACTGTTTTGTGAAAATGTATGAACATTTTTCATAGTTATTTTAAAAACTAAGCTAGACAGACATACTGACACACTTCAAACCTTACATTTAATGCAAAATAAATTGATTTAGTAAAATAAACATTTTCTATAGGTACAGTGGTTGGGAGCCAAATTGTGTTGAGATGTGTGAGTGTGGGGGTGGAACAGTGCTAGAAGTGGTTGAGAGAAAAGTTATTCTAGACGGTGGGCAGGTGGCTTATATATCACTTGATGAACATCGACTTGCATTTAGTAAGTATAATTAAAGTTTTAATAATATTAAATTTAGGTTTACCCTAAATTTTCATGAACTTTAATCAAGCATTGAGATTGATTAATTTAACTTCAGTCTTGTTTAACTTAATTTTTTAACCCAAATAATCTTTAACTGAGATTTATAATTGTTTAATTGGAATCCCGTTTTTCCCGAAATTTCTTAGTTTATCACATTTCTATACTGAATTGTACCAAAGACAAAGTAAATAAATATACATAATGCAATAATAGGATAAAATGAACTATGCTATATCAAATAATTTTAATATTTACATTTGTAATGCGTATCAATTAACTTTTGATGAAAATCTCCGCGCCAAGGTAACAGGGGATTGTGTAATTATTACAATTACTACGGTACAATGTTAATTAATGTTTCCGCTCGGATTACAATTATTATTCAAAGCTATAGATAACTACGTGATACGAATTATGGTTTATTCACAAGAATTTTATGATATCAAAATATGTTTTCTCTTGTTTAATATCTGGTAAATGTTGGGTGTGGCAGAGAAATAATGAGAGTAGAATTAATGCCGTGGAGAGCGTAGAGAAGTATGTTTGGTGTAGCATTGCGTAATAGGATAAGTAATAGTGAGATACGTTAACCCACACTTAAAAGAGGACGTGGTGAGAAGGATACGAAAGGGAATGCTTAGGTAGATTGACCATGAAGAACGGATCAATCAGATGCGGTTAAGAAGTAGGATATACAAGGCAACCGTGGATGGTGAAGTCAGGTTGGGTAGGCCTTGTCGTTCATACCTGGACCAAATCGAGAACGTACTATAGAACGGATAAGTTAAAAATACACTTAATCTACGAGCATGCATGGTGAATGTCATGATGACGCGAGAGAGATATGTCAGGACCGCAGCAGGTAGAGATCCATGGGGTATGCTTACCCCTTCAGGACAAAAGACGGGAAGATTGGTTGAACTGGTTCTCGCTTAAGTAAAATTATTTATATATCTAGTTTTCTAATAAGTTATTTTTTAAAAGAACGTCAAAATTTAATGGTGCGTTAGTCTTTTTAATAGCAACGTTAACAATTACGATTAACAAGTGGTTCACAATGAAGGCATTTATGACTTCGTATACACACTGAAACTGTATTTTATTTATTTTAGAAAATCCACAGAACAATGCAATTTAAAAAGTATATTTTTGTCAACATTAAACTGCTCCTCGTTATCGACAATTTTTTTTTTATGATTAACAAAAATTCAAATTACGACGATGACAAATACCGGAAACTCGTCTTTAAATCGTGGAGTATATGGACGAAAAGAGAAAGTTTTCATCTAAAAGTCTTTGTTAATAACTAAAACACAATTTTATAATACGTTATCTATGTACTTTTTTAGATAACGCGCTTCGCAATGGTGATTTGTCCGGCTGCGCAGCATATCTTGATTCGGTTAATACTGGTGCCGACATTTCACCCTTATGGCGCCAACTGGCCGAAAAGGCTCTTGAAAAGCAAGATATCGAGGTAAATTCATATTAGTACTTTTTTCATAAGTTGCTATTGCATAAAAAATTTTGCCTACATTATTTTTTATTGAAAAAATATATTTTTAATATAAAGCTACGGTCGGACTGTGCTTTGAAAAAAAAACATTGGTCGCTAAATATAAATGCATTCACAGGGTCACATTACTGAGTATTTTCGCTTAATTAAAAATTACCAAAGAGACTTGAATAGTTCTCTTAGTCAGGTTGTTAAGAATTCCGTATAGGTAATGAAGGTTGGTAAGGCCTGTGGTATTATGTACTATAAGCATATTAATTGTACACTTAACCACTATATTACAATACAACGCTGTATATTTCACTTGGCAAATTGGCAAAATAATTTCCGATTATTTATAACTGTAGAACCTATACAAATTGTTACTTTTTATTCTGTTAAGTTTTGGCTTTAAAATTCAAATAAAACAATCATTTCATAAAACCGACAAAACGTAAACAAATGTCAAGTTTTTTTCGTGGTTATATTATACATCGATCACAAGCAGCCTCCGACGAAATTAAACTAGAAGCCAGTATTAGAATTTGACGACGATGACTTTATAATATATCATCGTCGATTAGAGTAATCTGTGACCGTGTTCTGAATATTATATGATAATTTACAAGTCATTTTACTCCATGGTTTTTATGTTCATGTTTTGTACAGATTACTCTCAATAACATTTTATTTTTCATATTGTCAAGTACCCTATTAATATTTTCATAATTCATATTCATTTACATATTACGTGATCGAGCATGTATTACCACTATTACTATTTTATTGGCCACTATATGTAACTATAAAAATAAGTTCAACAGCTACGGCGAATTTTTGTTGAAACGATGTAATCTTTGTCATATAGAAAAATATGAAATTGTTTTATTAAGCAATCACCTTGAAGTTTTCTTCCTTAGCTCGCGGCAAAATGTTATCGGGGTGTCGGTGATGAGGCAAAAACATTTTATCTTGACGCCACTTTAAAATTAGCTGACGCTGAAGGGCAAGGCGATGTTTCTTCAGGTATTTATTAAATTTCAAGGTAATATCTAATGAAAGGGATTTTTTTTGTAAATATCTTGAATTTTTGAGTTATGTTAATATTAACTTTAACCTTAAAGTATATATGCGCCTCGAAATAACTATTATTTTGTCAATTTGAAAAATAAGTAACACTTTGTCAATTAGTATACCATTTAATTGCGTTAATGTATTACATATTTATTGAATTAAACTACCTTGACTGGGTCAACCTTTGACTACGCAAGCTATACATGTGAAAATCGGGGCAGTAAGTGTTTGTAAATTTAATCTGTGTATTGACAATTAAATGTTTTGTCTTTCCATTAACATATTAATATAGATCCTTCCCACCATTTTGTTAGTAATATTGTGTTCTCTTTGTAGGCTTAGGTAGCGCTCTAGTTCAAGCTAATCTAGCGATTTTTGCTGGCGACCTAGCAACAGCCGAAGATTGGTACATTAGAAAAGCTGGCCAGGCAGAATTGGCAATTGATATGTACAAACAGTTCAATCGATGGACTGATGCCATATCTGTGGCTGAACGCGTAGATAGAACTGCTGTGCCGGGACTCAAACAGCAATATATGGATTATTTACATTCAACTGGTGAGTCTTATTTCGATCATTTTCGATATTTCAATATATTTCAGACTCTATTAAAAGAATAACTTTAATATGATCTGTATTTTAAGTTATTTATTTATTTAGTGTTATGATAAAATTGTGTTCTTAATCTAGTCTTGACGTTCATAAGTGTACATTGTTTTAGTAGTGTACATTACCTACATGAATAAATTATTTTTGACTTTTGACTTTGTGATAAACTTTTTTTAAATTCACTTCAATTGTTTGTTTGTAACACTGAATTTTTTTAAATTAATAGAAAGTAATACGATAGTATTGTTTTTTATTTTTTACGCAAGTATTAGATAAACAATATAAGACGTGATTATTTTAATATATTTTTTCATTTAATACCCGTTTTTACTTAACGTATTAAACGCGAAATGTTTTGCATTAACGAATGAAATTCTGCATGTACGAACAGGTCGCAAAGGCGAGGCAGGCGCAGTATTAGCAGCCAGCGGAGACATTCGTGGTGCGATAAAGATATGGGTGAGCGCTGGACGTGCGAGGCGAGCTGCCGCCGCCATGTTGCAACATCCCGCACTCCTGAGGGACAACGAACTGTTGCATGCAGTACATGATCAACTTGTGCGGGTGAGTGTACACAGGAGAAAAATAATAAGTATTTTGAAAAACAAATATTGATTTTAATGATTTACTTAAGAATAATTAAATATTGGCTGGCATTCTAAATGGTGTCATCTGAGGGCTAAACAAAATTTCGATATAGTTCCCTCAATCCGTAGGTTCCGTTTATGTTGCAAATTTACGCGGCGCCTATTCAAGTTTACTTTTAAAACCTTTCATGATTTGAATATCTTTGTAAAAGTTAAAAACTACTTCTGTGATCGACTTTCTACAATTTATTAAAGCAAAAGATTTTAATACATATCTATCTTTACATATTTAAAAAAAGTAATTATATATCATAGGTACCATTATTCAAATTATTGAATTAATGATTCATAGTAATTTTTTTCAATCGAAAATCTATAAAGATATTCCCTATTGTGAGTATTTTACGAATAAATGTTATACGATAAAGAAATATTGCGTAAATCTTTATCACGATACTCCAGAGAATACTGAATCTATTCTAGTTAGGCTTTTGGGCTTTATATATTACGGATAGTAAATACATACAAGATATAGATTCAAGCTGATACCCTAAAGTCGTAGAATTAGGATAATTCCCTAATGCTTCTAATGTTTAATTATTCCTTACACATTACTGTTATGTCTACCATTTGTATATCAAAAGCCAACAAACAGCTCTTTATGTTCGTCTACAATACAGGTACCACTTGCTTCTTATGTAAAATTAAATAAACATTTCTATATTCACAATATCGGTCGGAATTTTTAACAACCGGTATATGGAAAAAGTTACTACTCATCTCGCAGTAATTAAATTTTTTGTCAATATAACACATTATTTTATATTTAGAAAACCATATTAAAGTTTAAAGAAAAAACTTTTTAACCGGATTAAAGTTATGTATTATAAATTTACAATTACATATTTAACATAATTTTAATTTTATCCGACGCTTCGCGTGCTTTGTAAAGCACACGAGTAAATTTATAATAATACATAACTTTAATCCGGTTAAAAAGTTTTTTCTTTAAATGTGTAAAGGTTATGTCAATCAAAGACAATACATACATATTAAAGTTTTTCTTTTAATAATACATGTTGTTTTTAATAAAAGTACAGTGAAAAATGGTGATAAATTGTATTTGATTCAAAAGGAGGAATGGTGGGAAATGGCTGGTGAAATATCGGAGAGGCGGGGCGACAATAAAACAGCGGTCGAGTACTACGCGAAAGGCAATTATTACGCCCGGGCTGTGCAGCTTGCTAGAGAAGTGAGTGATCTATAAAATATACACTTTTTTGTATAATTTAATTTTGTATTTTATTCTCATGCTATTTTTATGGTTAACGAGAAAACGAGGTAGTTAAACTACTAATGAATTTAAATCTAGTTTCAAGCAGCACTTTTGACAGCGCTCATGACGAGATTGTATCTTGAGATACGTATTGGAATATCGACCGTAGCGTCCTAATGAGGCATGGATCAGACACATTTCTGACCTTATTGATATTTTTCTGTACCACCCCAATAACAACTCTTACACTGAGAATTAAATGAAGGTTTAATTATATCCGCTTCTAGCTTTCTACAGGGTCTCAAATAGTTTACGATACTTTATTCCTCATTATAAACTTAACTTCTCGTACTATTTCATTTAAAGTACTTGAACGTCTTTTTGTTAGATAACGTGTATACTGGTACAATTACGAGACTACTATGTATAAATAAAACTTATTTAAGAAGCAAGAGGATATGTAGAATAATGTGGATTTTATTGTAAAGCCTAAATTATAATAAGTGCCTGTTTATAAGTCTTTACAAAAAAATATGTGTTATACCTAAAGTAACATTGGAGAAAGTAACTGGGGGTCAAAAAATCAATGCTCAACTAGAGTGTAAAGTTAAATGGTCTGTTGAGCGGAAATGAGGCAAATTGGACACGAAAATACTTCACAACGTGAATATTGTGTTTAGTAGTAGTCGATTCTCACGTTTATCATCTGCTATCTATATTTTGAACAATCTGTGTCTGTTTCTTTATTTGGTGTTATAAAATTCAATCAAAATATATGTTAGATTATTAATAACTTTCTCTGAGTTTCAATGGGCCCTAGACGTCTGTTACAGACATAAACCCGTAGAGTAAAGCTTTATGGTAATAACATAAGCTTTCGCTAGATCACAGAAACTATACTAAATCGATTGGCGATCACCACTCGCACTTCAGGGTTTGTTTTCGCATATCAGGGCTAGAACAATTTACTAATATTTTTATTTTCCATCCTAAATCTAAATCACCATTTTTACCTTATGTTTATATTTTTACGCCATTTAGTAAAGATTTAAACATATTCGTAATATATCCTATGACTATGAGCTATAACGATCTTTCACTGCCCTTTGTCTTCAACTAATCATGCACTAAATTTCGTAGCTAAATTTCATCGTTCTTTACATTTATTTATAATTATGAATATTTAATCAAAAATAACTTATTGATAACTTAAGTGGGACGAAGAATTAAAGTATTTGATTGTTTAGGCCTGTCCCGGAGAAGTAACACGCTTAGAGGGTGAATGGGGAGCTTGGTTAGTGGAAAGTCATCGTGCCGCGGCGGCTGTCCCGCATCTTATAGAGGCGGGACGTACAAGGGACGCTTTAGCCGCTGCTATAGAGGCCCATCATTATAAGAAAGCATTGCAAATTGTACAGGTAAATATTCTTCTACTGGTCTCGAATAAATATTTTTTTTATATTAGGTTAGCATGTGAGCTTTTACATTTATATCAGAAAACTCTTTATAAAACAAACATTTTATTGAATACTAACCTTTTTATGTTATACACTAATCTCAAATATCGATTAAATAGTTTATCCTTATCTCTCACACACACAAACAAAATGTGTTAAATTTGTTAGTACCTACATAATCTAATTGTTAAATAATCATATACAGAGCAGTGACCTCTTACAGGATATTAAAATTGTCGTCCCTTATTCATTCCCTAGGTCTAAAATCAGAAATATTTTCCAAATTCCTTCTACCAAAACCATACTAGGAGTTCAGGCACCTCTCGTTCAAATTCTTCGCGATTTTAACGGATTGAACACAGCTTATCCGGAGCTGGATATATTCACTAGTGGGCTGATCGGTTTTAGAGAAAGCATTGTGGGGTGCCTTTCTCGAACCTAATTCGCTGTTTTGCTGATGATTTTTCTTTTTATCTGCTTTAATTACCAACAAATTTCTAGCAATTTTATTTTATTTTATTGTGTGCTTATCTTATCTTGTATATGTTTTAATTGTATTTCTATTTTTTGTACTCTACCTGTCATACATTTTAGATGGAAGATATTGTAAAATAATCAGTAGATTTACTACTACGTATGATGTCGTAAACATAATAAATAAATAAGTTATACATTATTATTATTATATGTCTACCGAATAGTTTCCATTTGGGTCTGACCTACTTACTATGACCATTAACGGAGTACAATAAATGACTGGAATGTATGCGTGGAGTCACAAATCCGTTCTATATAGGTATTCTTGCCAAATATTCTACGTTAAAGAAAGCCTACGACGTCAAACTATGGCAATCAAAGCGAGGCGTAAGGTATAATGTAATTTAGCCCAAACCTACCCTAAAACTGAGTTACTGGTCGGGCAGGGTTTATTCTAATAAAGCAATACTATTAAAATTCAAAGGCCTTTAAGAGTTTACGAACGGTGTGAAATTATTATGCAACAGGCATTCATACTCTCGGGCGTCAGCACTTTGAATGTATAAAATTTTGCTTCTATTGAACCCTGAACTAACTTCATAAATGTCAATGGATGTATAAATTTTAAAAAGCTAATTTTAGCTAAAGCTTTTGTATTTTATGAGGGTTAATATTTGTAAGAGCCAAACTAATATATACTTGTATGAGGTATGCGCATTCGTGATTGTATGTGATTAATTGATTAAAGCGAGACCACATTTTTGTATGTTACAATAAAAGTTTTTACATATTTCAGGTATTGAAAAGGTTATCATTAAAATAATATTAGTAATAATAATTAATAAATAATTTAAGGTTATACAATTTTACTGCAATGCCTATTGTTTTAAAAATAGAAAGATATTTATAATTATAGTATTCTAACTATTATTCATTTATTCATTTATTTTATATATTTATTTATTATTACTATCATTTATTTTATTTCTATACATATATTTAAACTAAATCAGCATAATGAAAACTCTTACGTCTCTTTCGGTAAAATTGTGTTCACGCAGTGTTGAAATGAGAGTACTTTAGTAAGAGTGAAAAAATAATTATAAAAAAAAATTGTAATTGCACTACTAATTTCTAGGTAATTGATGATAAGGAGTCAATTAGACAAGAATGTGAGCGACTTGGCGAGCATTTCATTACGATTCAGGTAAGATATAAAAAATATTTATAACCATAAAAATATAATACAATTAATGCATATCAATATATAAGTAATGTTTAATTTTAAATCTTTAAATGTTACACTTGATGTAATATTTTTAGGACTGGGAAACGGCCGAGCGTGTACTCATATCTTGTGGTATGGCGGAACGTTGCGTGCGCGCATATAACTTAGCCGGAAAAATAACTGACGGATTGCGAGTCGCAACTGCGCATATATCTGAGGATGAAACTCGAGATATTTATTTACCACTAGCAAAACAGTTACGAGATGAGGGCCAGTTGAGAAAGGCGGAACAAATTTATATAGGACTTGGTGACCCGGATGAGGCCATTTCCATGTATAAGGTATGTTTTATCTAATATAATCACTAGAGTTTGCGCTTTTGAATTAGAATGCACATTCCAGAGATACTATAATTAAGGCACCTTAAAATAATACTATTATGATTAACGTATAATTCAACAGATTTGTTGGGAATAAATTCGCATCTAATGACTATAAAGCTTGAAGTTTATCTTGAAGTAATATAAAACGAGCTGTGTTCGTATGTTTGTATTGTTTGCAGTCTTTTACAGCTTTGTCAGATTTTAATGAAAAAATAGTATATTTGGTAAACTATTAAATTTGTTTTGCAAAACATGTAGACAACTGTAGCTCAAGCCTAAACATTTTTATGCCAAACTCCTATAATAAATTGTAGAACGCATCGCAATATGAATCGATGCTACGCCTCGTAGCAGCACATCGTCCGTCCCTCGTAGAGGCTACGCGCCGTCACGTAGCACAAGCGTTACAAGCGGCTGGCGATCTACGATCCGCTGAAAACTATTACATACAAGCAGGTGTGCACTGACACTATATTTGATATAATTTTGGCGCGTGTACTAAATAAAAAAAATCTAATTCTTATGTAGCTTAGCTTTTTACACCACGAAATAATTTATTTCACTAATATTAATGATCATGTCAATATTAGAAAAATCATGATAAACAACATGCCTCGAATTACGACTTCAATGGGTTCAATAATCAAATTAACATTATGAAGTGTATATTAACCGTACGAAAATATATTTTTTAAACCAAAATTGTTTAATAACTTGAAATTTAAGTATACTTGTATGAGCCAAAGCCGAAAAAGTAGAATCGAAAATTTTGCTGCCATACATATTTGTAATGTAACGAAATTTGTATGAAATGTAAATATTTTGTTATCTATAAATTATAATTAGGATTTATTTAATACTTGAATATTAGAGTTTTATGGTGTTTAACAATATAGACGACTGGAAGAGCGCCATAGGAATGTACCGGTCAAACAGTCAATGGGAGAACGCAGAGCGCGTTGCTCGTACCCACGCACCCGTGGCCGTACAGCAACAGACCGCGTTGCAGTGGGCAGCAACTTTGTCAGCTTCAGCCGCTGCTAGGTTACTTTCTGCTAGGGGACTTGCTGCTATTGGAGCAAGATGGGCGTTGCAGGCACAGAGGTTTCATTCTTTTTTTATAACAATTACAATAATCAACGAGGAATCGATTTGTACTAAAATACACTAATAAATCCACAAAAAACTGTCACTAATTACTTTAAATAACGCGCACTTAACATTTTGACAGTACTTACTACAGTAACTTTTCGCACTTTTATCTCTTCGATGTTGATATCTATCTCTAGGAATTGCACTCATAACTGAACTGGCCACCTTCTCCCTCGGAATAATCCTGAACAATAATTGTGAACTTTGTAGACAGTAGTGTTACTGAGTAGCTATCCTTATACAATTCTAGAACGCATGTGCTCTTTATCTCTTTCACACATAACTCCATCCTTGTCGTACGCTTTTATGGAATGTAAGTATGGCTTCGAGGAAATTCGGGTCTACCTTCTCATTCGCGTGTTATTCCATTCATGTCGCATACCCGTCATCATCATCTTATTATTTAATTTAAAAAAGTTAATAAATCTTCTTGTATTTATTGTACCACTTCTTATTCTACACATGCGTCGGTTAAAAAAAATTACATGATTATAAGTAGACAGACTTACGTCAGACAATTAAATTTCATTTAGATATTTATTTTATACTATTAGAACCAACAGTATAAATAAACTAATCTATAGACTTAAATATATTTTTACAAGTTAAAATGCACCTCATTTAGATGGGATATAGCCATGGAGCTGTCATCGCTCGGGGGTGGGATAACAAAGCGGGAAGTGGCTCGTCATGAAGCATCAGCACTAGCGGAAGAGCAGCCAGAGGAGGCTGAAGCAGCGTTCCTAAGGGCCGGTGCTCCAGATGATGCAGTGTCTATGTGGCTAGCTAAAGGATACCATCAGAGGGCACTTACCCTAGCAGAACAGTATGCTACGCATATGGTGTGTAACTATATATACAAGGTTACCCGGAGAACCGCATCTGAACTTAACTTATGCCTTTATAAAAGTGATACATTGAATACAAAACAAATATTAAATTCAATACTTTGATAAGAAATTATCATACGCATAAATATTTGACAACCAGTGTATATGTCAATCCAAATACGCCATTATCAATATATTGTGGCTATATCTTGTCGTTTCGAAACCTATATTTGAATACCTTCTTTAATTTGAGGAGAGAAACCGTACGATTACAGTATCGAAGGGATGAATGTTAAATTTTTGACAGTTACGAAACCCATGAACATTTTGTATCGATATTTTTTTCGTTAAATCGTTTTGTCTAATGTTTTTAAGGCGACGAGGAAAAATACATCAAATCAAAAACCATGAAAATCTGTTTGAGTTATACGTCTTTGAACAAACACGACTTTTTATATTAACATATTGTATGTGTGTATAAAAGTTTGTTTGTTTGGTGTTCTTAAAAACTGCCTTAGGCTTTGTTATACCTACGGTTAACCTATGTACATATGTTTTAGTTATGTTTGATGGGATATTTTGAAGTCATAAACCTGTTATACAAGACCGATGTTGTTTGTTAAAACTTCATTTGTTTTAAAAAAAATCGCAAAGTAATTCGTGGCTCAATTTGGTAACTTTTAATTAAAAATAAATGCGTTTTTATTACCTATTTCCTAGTAACTTATTACTGGAATTAGGAAATAAATACATACAATGTGTCTTTATTGTTGAAAAGTTTTTTATTATAGGTAGAAGAAGTGTTAGTAGAGGGTGCGCGTGCAGCGGCTGAAAGAGGCGATTTGCAGCAATTCGAGACTTTGATGATACGAGCTAATCGGCCCAGAGAAGTAGTGCAGCATTATAAACAACTTGGTATGTTCATTATTATATTACTAATTGTTTCACATTCTAAATCTCATTATTCAAATAATTAATAACATTTGTTTTATTTATATTAAAATAAAAAATCTACTTTTATTCTATCACTACTAAGCCCTTCCTAAGATCCCTTCCGACAAAGATATGTAGAGGAAAGAAGGTGCTGCTCTTTCTCCAGCCTTAAAAGAGAATATTCGATCCGTCTAATGTTTGGTTGGCCCGAAGGCCGCAGTGGATTAAGTCAAGAAGTTGTTCATATCCTTTGCGAATGGAATAACTTTGTAAACGCGATACAGGGTATGACGTCATCGTACTGATTGTAGGTTCGCTCCAAACAATTAAAATAGAAAACAATACGTACGTTAAAATTTAGACTATACGAGAACAAAACGTATTTTTCAAACATCTTTTTCTGAAACACAACAATGTTGGTATACCATAACAATTGCCATTCAAAAATTGTCTACAGACTCAGTTTTAAATGTATTTAAGCAATCCAAATTGACGGTACGCATTAATAAATGTGGAACATATATATAAGTATGGGCATTGAGTCGACTGATGAAAATTAAAGTTTGTGCTGTTTAGAAATTAAGGTAAAAATTTATAAGCACATCAGAAATTTAAATTTAATTTTAACTGGTCAAGGGTACATGTTCGGTATTTTCTTAGTCATTGAGGAGCGCTGACATGTACTGTATTAAAATAGACTCCACCACACATTGCATGTAAAAATACCTAAATTACGACCTATCTATAATTTTATTTATTTTAAAAAGGCAAAATAACGAAATACATACAAACACTGACAGAGGATACACGGGGACAACATTTATGGGGAAAAATTGCAATGATTAAAGAGAAAATAAATTATATAATAAACGACAATAAACTAGTTTTAGATACATTCATGGAATTTAATATATTTTTACTTTGAAATTGTTATTATTGGTGTTTCAACAACAGCGGCTGTCTGCAGTCGCTGTTGTTCCATTCTGATCTTACACCTGAAGACATGGAGACTGTCATAAAAATGGATCTGCCTTGCATGTACTCAAAGCGTCGTTTTCTGCAGATAGATTTCATAGTTATTAATCGGCCCATGGGCCAAATATAGTATATAGTATATTTATGCAGCCTTTTTATTTATTATTTATATTTTATTTATTTGGTTTATAGGCAAATTCGGTCTACTATGCGTGATAAATGCCGTAAATTTTAAAAATAGCAGTAAAGATAAACACTGGGCCCACAGCCGAGATTCAAATACATACAGGAACTCAACGCGTTCCACATAACACAGCTTATTGAAATATAATCTAAGAAAGTATATCTTTTAATTTTCAATTAAGAAATAAAACATTTCAAAATACATAATATAGTAAATTAACTTGATTGTGACTTGTTGAGGGAGGAGCGTAATTGCCGTTAATATTCCGAGTCCGTGGCAATACGGGCTTGTACTTTGTCGAGTTTACTATTTTGTTTAGATTTACAACTTTGGAGCATTTGTTTAGAGTTATAACTTTAACATTTTATATGGTTTAGATTGAAAGCGTGTAAAAAAATATATTTTACTATAAGAATAACATACACAGCGTGTGAAAAGTACAATTCAAAAATTATAATCGCAAAATTGTATCTTGTTTTGCTATTTTACATTTAATGTAAATAAGTTGGAATTAATAATGTCGAATACATACACATGCCTATAAACTTTGTGAAGTAGGTATATACTTCGACCGCTGAAATGCATATGTACACGCGGTCTGTGGGTAATTTGTGTGTAGATTAAATGCAAATTTCAAACCGACAATGATGTATTAAAGATGCTTTTGTAAAAATAAATTTGTTGTTGGAATACATTTTAGTTAACTCATTTTTTAAAATTTTCTTTGCCGGGAAAAGATCTCTTAATAGTGATAAATAAGTAATCTCACACAAAATATTGCATACAGAGATGTGGGAGGAAGCGGGTCGTGTTTCCCGCGAGTACTTACCTGACAGCACGGAGGCCGTGCCTCCCGCAGTACCTCCATTGCTGCAGAGAGCCGCCGATCATGCTGATAGGTGGGGAAATTATTATTCGTACACTAATAATAATAATCCAGTGGTACTACAACTCGAAATCGGTCTTGGTCTCAGATAGGTATATTTAGGACAAGTAGGTGATTAGCCTTCTACTGACACATGCCGTCGAAATTTTGCGACATTCCGGTTTCCTCAAGATTTTCTTTACCGCATGTTATATAGACAGAAAGCCCATTGGTGCACAGCTGGAGATCGAACCTACGACCTCAGGGATGAGAGTCGCCCGCTCAGGCCAACATTTCTGTACGCTATATATAACACGATATGAATTTATACAGGTAAACATTTAAATAATAGTAAATTAAAAGTAATACCATATTTAGGTAAAGTGCTTTGTATTTTGGAATAGGTACTGTACGAGTACGTGTTTCATATGATTATTATATGATTGCAATTTTTCATATAAAAACCCAAACTAACCATGGCAAACACGTTACTAGTAATTGTAATATTTAAATTTTGAATATCTTAAAGTCAAGAAAGTTCCTTACTTTCATATCATATTGCGGAAGGTATTATAATTATATTCATATAAAAAATTTCGCTAAAGCCAATTTGTGTAGATTTCTCTAAAATAATATTTTTTAAAGTATGGTATCATTGATTGACTAATAAAAAAAACCTTTCTATTGCAATATCGTGTGAATATAAAATTAAAGGGGCGAATGGTGGGAGGCAGTACGCCTTCTAATAGGCGCAAGCGCAGCGGCGGCCTCAGGCGGTGCTGGGCGCCTTGCAGAACGCGCGGCCTTACGAGCCGCTCGCCTTGCAAGGGATAAACTCTCCGGCGACACGCGACGCGCCGCAGCTGACATGCTGGTTGAAAGGTAATGATGCTATTACGCACAGATATATTTTTATCGTTTGTGATGCCTTGTTATGTTTGTTTATAAATCCTTCAATCCCAGGTATTATTTCCTTTTCTTTTTTTCTTCTCGAACGGGGTAGGCAGAGACTACGGATCTCCACTTGCTATGGTCCTGTCATACCACACTCGCTTCATCCATTTTCATGACATTCACCTTGCATGTTCGTTAGTTATGGGTACTTTTAACTGGTCCTATTACTAGATCTCCTGAGTTGTGTCAGGTATGTACGACAAGGCTTTCCCAATCCGGCTTCACCATCCACGGTTGCCTTGTATATCCTATTATAGTTTTGTACACAAATAATATGCTTTAATTAGCCAACGTTCGAATACAAACTTTTATTGCTGCTGCGTGAGCCGCACGTTGATCCGCCGTCGCATTATCAACCAGCACCGGTTTAGTCAACTCTCCAATACTCACTTCATAGGCTCCATCAGTTGCACGCAATAAATTTCCAAATATTCCAGTTTTCCGAACCCTTCAACTTCTCAATACCTTGAAATTCCATGATTGTCAGTCACCAAAAATTCCAGTAACTATCACCACCAGGTTATGAGATGAAAATGTCCCAGAAAACACTATTTGTTTCGTTCAATCTTCGTTGAAAACGTTGGTCCAATCAAATCGAACCACGCTCTGCTACCATATTATAGTTTTTGTACACAAATAATATGCTTTAATTAGCCAACGTTCGAATACAACTTTTATTGACAAAAATTGATTAACAGAATTCAGAGAGTGACAGTTGACAATAGGTTAATAGAATACAATTCAAATTCTAAATATCAAGGTTTTACATCAATATATCCTACTTGTAAACCGTTTGTCATTCATCCGTATCCTTATCACTACGTCCTCTTTTAACCTACACGGCTCACGTATCTCACTATTACTTTGCCTATCACGAAATGTTACACCTTATATACTCGTACTTCTTAACGTTCTAATTTATTCTACTCTAATTATTTCTCTGCCACCTCCAACATTTTTCCCTTTAACTGGTTTATTATAAGTAAAAAGTGTCAATTCGTATAAAATTAAAAGGTTTTTATAATACTGGTATTTGTCCATTATTACTAAAGGTTAAAAAAAAATACACTATAATTATATTGAAAAAGAATAAAATATTGTATGAAGTGTTTTTGAAAGTCACTTATAAATTGTAGATAAAGCGAAAATTTTTAATTGCAAGCTAAATTTCTATTTCGTGTCAAATGTATTAATGATCTACCGTATACCAGTACCGTTGTTTTTCACAGAAATCTGATGGTAATTAACTACAGTTTAAAATAACAAGTAGAATAACTAAAAGTATGACTAATTTTGTTTGCTATTTTATTTTAAGAAGATCCAACTTTTATTTGTACCATATTCTATTATATCTTATTATTGTTTTATATTTAGAAAATATAATTTCTTAACAACACTAGTAACAATAAACACACAGGCTTTTTACACCTCAGTCAATCTGCTTGCGAGGACGCGAAATATGACTGATTCATAATATAATATTTTAAATTCAAAATAAGCTATTTGCTAATTTTTTAATTCGATGTACTTTTTTTAGTAATAAACCTTTTTAGATTCGATGCCATCGGCCAAGGTGAGGTTGGTGAACAGTTACGCGCTGCGTTGCTTGAGGGAGAAGTCGAAGAAGCCGGTATGCAAATTTTTTTTTATAAATAAAATATTTTGTTGTTCCATATTCTAAGTATAATTAAGATACATTTTTAATAATTTTATTATTTTTCGAGACTCAGGGTTCGATGGTTTTGTTTACTGACTAAGCTTCGATTCCCGACGAAAAAAATATGTTACAGTCTCGAAGAAGTCAAATATTATTGAAATGAATCTCAGTTATACTTAGAATACCTAACAACAAAGTATGTTATTAACGACATTGTTTTTTAAACATGCATAAATGTGTAATCCCTTTGGCTAGTCTTAACTTCACAATGTTCTCCGTTTCTGCTAAAAGTATACTGTTAACTTCTTAATTATGAATGATTCCTTAATTACTTGCATTAGGTTCATCAGAAGCACCAGAAGAAGTGGACACCCCAGAAGTTCGAGAAGAGCTGGAAGTGGAAAATTCAGCGCTTGAAAAGCTAGCGCGAGCGGGACAGTGGGCTCGTTGTCTCGCTCATGCCGGCGCACGCGCACCGCATTACGCGTTAAGATACGCTGCGCATTTGTTCAAGACGCAAGCTGTAAGTGATCGTTATTAAAACTATTTGTGTCAATATAAAAATGTATTTGTATGAAAATTACGTAGCTTTATTAATTTTATACACGTTATATTGATGCCAGAGGTTATGACTGTGTGTTTACACACATTAGTGGAAGTGTAGGAGTAGCGTAAAGGATGTGCTTAGACCATTCCCAATTGGTTTTGCGGAGCTTTCAGAATTTACGCTATGGCTTTTTGTATGATATTTTGCGTAATTGTACCATAAAGAACGGTTCAGTGGCCGTTGATGCACATTTTTATATTAAAATAATAAGCCCTGAGTACATACCTCGTTTTCATATATATTATATACTTAACTTAAGGAAATGCACACAAAACTCAGTCATAAGGATGAGGAGAATATTAGTATGGGAACAGTAAGAGGTTAGACTGATCATATACTCAAATACTTTGCCTTGCAATGGTTCAAAATACGCACATAAAGTCACTAAGAAATTATAGAATTGAGGGCATAGCTAATAAATGTAATTGGCAAAAATATAATTAAATTCTAAATTTCGTTTAGCATAACCCGAGCGAAACTAAAAAGCAAGAGAAATGTGACAATCGGCCGAGTTAAAATATTTGACATCACCTCATCAAAAATTATGAAAATTAAAAAAGATGTATTTCGAACAGTAATATAATGAATGCCATTATATATTTTAACAATAGAAAACTAATGAAACATAAGTAAGAAGCAGAGACAATAAAAAGGAAACTAAGTTATGAATGCCTCCATCTCACTGTAATCTAAGCCCAAAGACTTTAATAGCTTGATAGGTTACACTTGGAGTCGATAGGACAGTTTTTCTCTGTCGGAAATTGTTTTATACAATTAATATTTTTTTTTAAATATTTCCAGCGATTAGAAGGCGTTAACATCGATAGTGAAGAAATACCAGAAGCACTATCACAAGTTCTAGATACACTTAGGCAATACTTAATACTAGATGATGCGCAGATATCCAGTAGTGATGTGCCTTTAGCTAAAGCTGTATCTAATGAGATATTGGTGCGAGTTTCGATGGCCCCTAAAGCTTTTAGCGCTTTAAAAGATGCAGCTGAAATCTTGGTGGTAGCCGAAGCAGACGATAAATCGATTCAGGTAAGACTACCACTAAGGCAAGTAAAACTTTAATGTTCTTATGTGTATCATGACATCAGATATTACTTAGGTTTAGTTTAGTTTATAAATACTGATTGCCTTTTCCATTAATATTTTTAAATGATTATAACACTTAAAAATGGAACAGATACTCATGGCAGTATTTAGGATGATTTTTTTATCAACATGAATAAAGGTTTCATCTTCTAAATTAGTTAAAAATTCCATATAAATAAGTGCTCGGAGAGCGATCCATAAAAATAGATAAGGTATCCTTTATTAAGTACTAAACAAAAGGTAAAAAATTAAAGCATCTAGGGCCTAATTTGGCAAAACAATCTGCACTTAAATTTAAACATCAATTCCGATAGGAATCAAACTTGTAATAAAAAACACCATTGAATTCTTGAACTCTTTAGATACTTAAGGAAAGTCGCCAAATTGTACACTGCATTATTCTAATTCACCTGTAATAATCGTTATCGAAGCGAGTAAATAGGCCAATTTATAAGCAAACATTGATTGTTTGACATTGTAGGCACTCACATTATTGATGGGTCTGCACGTGCCCCAAATTGCGGGCAGAGCGGCTCGAGCCCTGCCACGGTACACCGATATTATTGTGGCTGATGTGGGTGAGTGGGATTTAATATATTGTATCATTTGGTTGGCTTTATTTTAGAAAATTTCTTAATAATATAAGGCATCTCAAAACTTGATAAAGGAGTATTTTCGAAACCGTACGAAGCCGTAGAAGAAATACCAAGATTTTATTTATATACATTTTTAAAAAACAGCTTCTGTATTTTAAATTTTATTATTAATCAGTACAAAGTTTTAATTAAAACAAATACGAGTATTATATATTATACTAACATTTGTCAGATAAGTTAATACCGGAGAGCTATTTACTGTACCAAATTTAGAATTAATTTCCGGAACAAAAAGGAATCGCTTGAAAGGCTTTGAAAAGCTTCCTTGCTTTATATATGTCGAGGGTAATATGAAACTTGAATATAAAATTTTCCTTATAAAATGTTTGTAGAATATTCATATGAATGTATTTCTAAATATTCTGACTGAATCAATATTATTATATATTATATAGCGTTCTATGCGGCTGGCCTTGCGATACGGGAAGAAGGTTCTAGTGGGTCACGCGAGGCTTTTGTTTTTCTCAATCATTGCCTGGACCTTGCTGAAGCAGCTGATGAAGAATCTCATCACCTGCTTGATTACACAGACTTTGGTAATCACATCAATAATAATATAAAATATACTAAGTATATTAATTTTTTTACTTTTTTAAGATTCAGGATTTGTAACATTGGCGATGATTTAATCAAATGCCTTTTTTTGAATTTGATGATGTAACTCATATATTTTTAATTAATATTAATTGTTTGAGTTTAATGCGTAGAATTTAAAGATTTTCAGAACTTTTGAAAGATTCAATTTAGCCTAGTGTTGCGCAGTTATATTTTACTATTAAAATGCATATTTAATAGTTTTGTAAAATCTAAATCAAATAATATTATTCATGTTTTCTTAAATATTTAATTTTATTAATTTTTAATATCATAAATGATTACTGTAGAGTGCACCGACTGGGCCCGCGAGCCTCTCCTATTGGAGCGCGCGTGTGTTCGCGGCGAAACGTTAGACGCTTTACGCGATTGGGTTCTTGCGTTGTCTATGGACCGGGACGTTGAACAGGTAATGGTAATATTTATGAGTATTATTTCTATATTAGATTTTAAGGTATTCATAAAAATAGAAAATAATAACTTGTGTATAATCTCAATTAAAAATGTATAGACCCTAGAATTGGACAGTCGCGGATGGTACGGCGCACGCGCAGCCGAGGGTGACGCGGTTTGTGTCTTAACAGGATACCCGCTCGGCTCGCGACTCGTTACGTTTACTAATGGTGAGTCTGACAAGTCTTTACACCATTACATATGACTTTTATCATAATAAACCAATTTAAGCCTGTTTTTGCTTGGTTCTTTCAAATTATTTTAAGGTTTAGCTAACGAATCTTGGTACACCAATAAAAATCAATAAGGAGTTAAAGTTTGTTTTGTTGTTATTGTCTTTATGATCATCAATCAAATTCTCAATTTTAATACTAAACTCTTCTTACAATTTGTAGTAGTCGTATGATTACCATAATAATACTATTTATACAGTTATTATAATACATTTTTGTATAGGTCGATGTGCCAATCGCGAATGGTGGTCTCGAGCATCCCAGGCAGCGCGTAATAGTAACGCTGTTGCTTCATCATTGCTTCAACATATCACTAAATGGTGTGGGCCAGCCGATTTCTCCCATATTTAATTATATATTAAACTTGTAAGCTGAAAATTATTATTTTTCTTTGAAATAAATACTTCAGTGAAATTTAGTTTCTTTTTTTCCTTTTATCTTTAGTTTTTACACGATGTGGCTCTAGTCGACTTTTCAGTCGAATCAAAAATATATTGGATTTGACTTATAAGAGTTGTAGTTTCCTTAGCGCTAGGTATAGGCTCTGAATCTTAAGATATTTCTCCCTAAAGGCTAAAAACCCAGAATGCTAAAATGTGAGGTGCATCATAACGCTTTTCTCTGAAATTATTACTTTGAAAAATAAAAGAAATATTAAAAATAGCTTTTTTTAGTTGAAGTGGTCAATATGTTAAATCACTTTCTTCGAATAAAAAGATTACTCGTGAAAAAACTTTTGCGGAAAGATAAAAAGCTTAAATTACTAACCTTAATAAATCTATATAAACAGTAACTCTTGTGTACCTACTTAAAACTTTATTTCCGGTTGGATAACGCCGAACTCAAAATTTACGCTAACATTACAAGTCCCATTTATAATCCCTTCTGAGCTTCAATTTGCTTTAGGAAATAATACCCTATTTCAAACTTTTAAAGTAACATCTGTCAGCCTTTCCGTCATTTATGATATATTGTTTAGATCAGAAATTATAATTTAGAAATTATGTTAATATTGTATTCAGGGTCATAAAAGCTTTTTGACATGATCATTAGAGACTTAAGAGTAAAATATTTAGTTTTTACTATTGTATAATGAGTTTGCAGTTTCATATAATACGTTAGGCAGAGTCAGTTTTTCCCATTCACTGTTATCGTGCATTAAACAAACGAATAACAATATTTCTACAATATTCAACCTATGTTTAAAAATGCGTACTCATTTGAGTATATGTATAAAGCGGGCTCTGTAAAATATAACAATAAATATATTTTATATGTGAATAACAGGACATTGGCGTTCCTTCTACACAGTTTCTTTGTGTTGTTTATTTGTTTTCATTGGTAATGGATATAATCAATAAAAAAGAGTCTCTTTGAGGTGGTAGTAAAATTGGATTTGTCCTGTTTAAAAATTGCGGTACGTTTATAATTCGAATGTTATGATATGGAAGTAGGAATAAATGTTTTTTTGAAATAAGATCGACTATCGCTGGCTGGTTACCGAGTTAAATAAAACACAAGTTCACTATAATGTCAGATTTTATCACATTTATTAAATATTTATTATACTATTACACACATACGTTACGTACAAGAGCTTGTTTAGTTTTCGCTATGAATATTGCATTTAGCCATTAAAAATACCACGAAGACAAATACATATAGAATGTTTAAATCTTTACTGCTGCTATTAAATGTCATATAAGTTCGATAGTCAGAGTATTCATAACGAAAACCTCACATCAAATTACTTTAAAGAAAAGATAGGTAAGAAAATTTATTTGTAAATATTAGACTATATGAAGATATCTGATTCGAAAATATGATATTTGTATCACATCAATATGTCACAGGTACACAATAGGTTTATTATAGATATGTAGTCGGGATTCTTTGGGGAAGTGGCAATTAATTTTATAGGAGGCACTATTACTAAATATTTATAACATTATCTTATATAGATTATTCGTTACACTAAAATATTAAAATAGTAAGCGTAAATGATTTGACCGATTCCAACGTTCATTAGAATTTGATCGATTTAACATCTATATATTTTTTTAAATTAAATAATATAATAATAAATATATTTTACAATAGCAATTAATAAATTAAAGAAATACATAATATTATTAGGATTAAATCTCATTAATGTTGTATCTTAAAATATCTCTCTCTTTGGGTTATCGTTATAAAATCTATCTTCAATTTTCTTTTTGTAATATAATTTTCAAAAAAATGATGGATTCTTACCAAGATATGTAGGTATTTATTGTTTTGATAAGTGGTTAAAGTTTGCTATATTGCTATTTTTATAAATTTCGTCTATACATAAATTTTCTTTTGTAGGTTGGATATAATACTTGGTAGACAATATACATTATCTGCTCATAAAATATATAGCAAACAAAATATTGAATCCCTTATAATATGAGCATACTAGAGATTTAAAATTTCTCTACGAAGGCAAGTTTATAAGAAATTACATCTAAATCGTTATATTATTGCTGAATAAGTATAAGGTCAGGGTTTGACATAAAGTAGCGAATAGTTAAAGTAGGTATCTAGTAGGGCACAGAAAATATTGTCAAGCTAGTCTCTAAGCTTTGTTTGGAAGAACACGGAGTGGGCGTTTCATATATTTATATAAGATGTACATTATCATTATCCATACACAAAAATTTGATCGTAAGCTAACATCGATTCAAAATATTTTATTATCAATCGCTACAATAAATAAAACTAGGCCTGGCGCATTTGCGCGATTTGGGGTTATGAGCCAAGTACATTTGAACTACGTTTTCTTACTTTAATAAACTTACTCTTTAACACATATTCTAAGTGAAGAGTCATGTCTAATGGTATACCATATCGAGTCGGTACTTGACATGATGAAGATGAGTAAATACTATGAAATGATTGTATTTCCCTAGATAGTATAAAAGGCCGATTTTGTGTTATCACGAAAGTAGTTGTGCGTAGAAAATTTTGGAAAATAAGTAATATTTACATTTTATTTTGACACGATGATATCTAAGAATGTTAGATTAGTAGGGAAAATTCACTAAAGCACAACCTTGGAAGAATAGTACCTAGATGTTCTTATTAACTAGGTTTCACTTATGATATATATTATTAATAGTATAAGGCAAAGTGTCGAAGTTGGGGTTATCACATAAAATTATTAAATGCTACACGTTTAGAGAAATATAACATAAACAGATATAACAATTAGCAGGTGAAAGATTTGTTCATGAATAAATATTGTAAACAGGAGAATATTAAATATAGAATCACATATTAGAAGCTACTATACAACATATAAAACTTCTACAAATCGTACCTAAATATATATCAAGGCAAACATCGAATTCGTTCCTAAAGAGATACGTTTTTCGATTTTTTGCATCGATCAAGACAATATTAAATCTTTCACTAAAGCAAAACTTTAAGCTCCTTCAATTATGATCAGCAGGATCGCATCGGGGACATAAAAATACAAGTTGTGAAGAAATCGTGAAGGACACATCGCGGGTACAATAGCTACTCGGTACGGCGTCAGCATATCATTACTAGGGACTAATTGGGTAAGTCGTCATACAAATCGGGAGACTGATCTGAAGATTAGCCGTCGCTGTCGGGACTTAGAACTAGTCGTCCTTACGTTCCGGCGACGGCTCTCTGGATCAGTCAGGCGACTCGTCGGCCGCGAGCGAGGTGGCCGGGAACAGAGGGTACCAGCCGTACGTGCGCTGGGGCAGAGTCAACTTGTCGAGACATATCTCGGCTCCCCCCAGAGCCAGATTGTGCTCGAAACCTCCGCAACGTTGCCACAACATTACTACCAGAATACGACCAAGCGATTCATTTGCCTGGAAATTATTCAATCCTTTTGAACTGTCCAATGAACAAAAATTTGACAACAACAATAGATTTTACTTTTGCGTACATTCGGCTGTATATTGAGTCCTTTGGAAAAGTAAACTGACCTGATATTTGAGTGTTTGCTTAAAGTGTGGCTCAGTTGTTCGACGAATGACTCGTGTCTTGCGTTTATGCAGCCATTTGTCTCCATCTCGGAGGTAACATTTGACGTACGAATCTGGCACCTCACCGTTTACACCGTACACGCGACGGGCGTGCGATACCTGGATTAGTTAGAAAAAACAAGAATATGATAATTAATTTTACTATCGTTCAAAAATTTTAAATATGAAATACCTCAAGCTCCAGTTGTCCCTTGATCATGATAATGCTGATGTTGATCTCGGCATGCAATGGCGGCAAGTGGGCGTTTCGCGGCGGCATCTGCCCCGGGCCCAGTGGCACGTCATCTTCATCGGGCACCTCGCAGGCCGCCGATGCTGCCGCCGCCGGCACCGCCGCCCACATGCTGCCTTTGCGACCCGTGGCCGTGCCTGCGACACAACAACTGCCCAACGACTACACCCGCGAGATCACCCGCCTCGTGTGCGACGGTCGCCAATCTTTTCAACTTCAGTATTCAACTCTTTACACATTAAAACAAACAATACAACAAATTCAGAATGAACCATTCAATCGAACATTGATAAACACATAATAAGCACGTCAAACAGCTTCGTGCTATGTCTTTAAATACATAATCAGTCGATTTCTCCTAAACACACATATGAAAGAAGAAGCATATCAACGAGTGCAGCTTAGAGTGTATTCGAGGCTCTAATAGTTGCTTAAAGCGGTCTCCGATTCATTACGATGGTATTAAGCATTCCGTGTCATGAGCAGCCATTGATCGCAACAGTCGAGGTGTCGTTAAGAGAAGTATTGTCATGCGACTGCTGAAGAGTGCGCTAGAGGATGCGACCCGCGGCCTATTGCGCCTAAGCGGGCACGTCCGCTCGACTGCCCTGGGTTTGTCCGGGTTCACCGAGCCGACCGACTACTTCCTACGGAAGGGTTATGTACAAGAAGTCTACTAGAAGGCGGTTCAAACAATGAATGGAATTCGCGAAGGTGATGAGGTTCGTCATTTGACCTAGGCGATACGATGCCATCGAGATGAACGTAGACGGGTAGCCGAATAGACGGAACACAGAAACAGATGAAGTGAGCGTGATCGCCCGCGGCCGGGCATGCGTCAGGACAGTACAGACAGACACAGTGAAGTGATGAGAAGCATCGGGCGCAGCCACATTCAACGGTGCGGGCGCGGCCGTCGCGCAAGCAATGTATGACCCATGCTACTACGTGGCTGCCGATTCGCATTCCACCTCGAGACCCAGCGCCGACCGCTCCCACCACCTTACCTTGTGTATTTGCATACACAATGTACGGTGGTTCGACACGGCAAGGTGCGCGGGAGCGCTCAGCTCTGATGCGGAGCCCAAATGAGAATCGGACAGTCGTCGGACGTCACAAGGGATCGTATACACCGAAACCGCGCACGGACAAGCCCCATGCACGGCACGGGCTTTCGCTTACCGAGGAGCTAACGGTCCGTCGCTGCTGACCAAACAAGCACAACAGTACAGGTCAGTACCCTCAAGGTTTGCATTATCTAGTGGTGGGCGGTAGGCCTATTGGGGGAAATTTATACATCTACATAACTTTGCATTCAGTTCAATTTTTAACCAGCGGATTCGGATTTTCATTTAGCAATCCACACGATGCATTAAGTTATTGAAGGAAGGTAGACATTTTGGAAAAATGAGCAAGGAATTGAGTGATCGTTATTTGAGCTAAGATCCCTTCGTCGACAGGCTTGTTTGTGGCGAATCATTTGGAAATTTACATCCGGCCGAGCTATGAGCGCCTACCTGAACTCCATACTTTTCTAAATTAACTAATGCGGTGAACGAAGGAAAGATAGAAGAAGTGACAGGAAGAGGGTGTAGAGCAAGTACAAGTGTAAACGTGACTCACGTCGTGCAGTGGAGCCAGACAGCGAGAGCGTGCGCCCGAGCTCACCCTTGACGGCGCGAAGGGACCGCATAATGTCGTCGGGGTCGCGTCGCACACACGACGACCGACGCCGCTCGCGACGAGGGATGCACACCGAGCTACCCTCACTCACACCATCTAAGGTGTTGCAATATATAAACTTTTACAACAGATTTCGAATGCTATATAGTATATATATAGGGTGCAACTATACAAAACTGTTTTCTATATGTGATTTTGTTTAAACAAAATACCAGAAGACAATAAAGCAATGTGTGTATCCAATGTGAAAAAAATTAAATAAAATATAAACTAAATAGATAAAAATATATTAATTCTATACCGAACCTTTATCTTGTTGTTGGAAGGAGGATCGACGGGAACCAGGCAAGGATCGAGAGAAGTCTTTTCCCAGTTGGTATACTTCCACCTCTAGAGTTTCAGATTGAGAGGAGCCACGACGAGATCCCGCCACCCACGCGTGATCAGGGTGCAGCAGTGACGCACATTCGCCTATAGAATCTACGTCATCTGAAAATAATTTTTCGGTAGTAGGAATATATCTGGAGAGTTATCGTTAAGATATTATTAATAAAATTAACACACAAAATATGCCGTATTGTACTTGCAACAAGTAACACACTTGCACAGTAAAAATAGCGATAAAATTGTTTTTTTTTTATTAGGACCCTTTATGTCACACCATCCACGCGATCGGACAGATCCGTGATCTGGCCGGCGGCGGGAACTGCATCATATATTTGATAATTCTCTCGCAGATTTTTTCCAGCTGCAATCTGTGCTTGAGCTACATGTCAGATATACCATTCCAGGTTACCACCGTTTGGTCAGTTCTTATAATGTTCTGTGCACTTAATTTATTTAAATAATTTTTATTATTTATATATTACTTTTGTAACATATAGATAGATGGCCACGCAACACCAGTGATTAATTCTGCGATCGGCTTACGAAATATCCTAACTTTAAAACGAAAACAACATATATTTGCGGTCTCAATACTCTTCCACCGATAGTACCTGACACAGATCGTTGTGAAGCGAATTCCCCGCGACGCAAAGCCCGTGCTCCCGAAAGGGAAGACCTTGGAGATGCATTGGCAGAACGAGACCCGCGTTCCTCCAAGGTCCACCAAACTGCACGCTCTTCAGCAAACGCTTTTTCTAGGTCCATCTGTAATTGGGGCATGGAGCAGACACAATAATCGCACAGTTTCATTTATGATATCTCTTTTATATATAACCTACGTGCCCAGTAGGTTATCTATACTTTTTGATAAAAAATAATTACGGCCGTAGGGTTAAAAAAACAGAAGTAAAATGTTATACATAATCGCTAAAGATAACTTTTTATACAACAATATTTTAAAATTAATAGGTCTTATGGGAGAACTATTATATAAAGTACCTGTTATAAGTAATAAAATTTTAGCTAATGCCGAAGATTGTATGATAAAAAGTATTGACATTTTTTGAAATCTGAGTGTCCATAACCAAACAATAATTACCTCATAATGCATGTCGTTGGAATAAATTAAACATAAATAAAATATATTTACAATCGTTTTAATATCAGAAATATTTATTAGCATAAATTCAATAATTATTTACGAAGTCAGTTTATACACTCACGGTACATTCGGCAATAAGTACAGGATCAATTCCCGGACACGCGTCCCACAAAGTGAGCTCAAGCGCTCGTCCTGCCAGTAAGTCTGCTGTGAGCCCACCGAATCCAAGTGTAGCGTTCCACACGGGACTGCACGATGCGGATGCTGGGTCTGTCTCTACTGGTGGACAACTCTCCCTAAAATACGAATATATAATTATAATTATTAATACATGAAGGTGATGATAACCCGTCGAAAGTAGCTTACAATGTTCTGCCCTGCGATTCTGTAACTCACTTTTCGAACTCACACAGCGGTTTTCGCATCGGCGGTCGCTCTCAAATCAGTCGTGAAGCAGTAATTTTATGATTTGGCATTGTGATAAACAATAAACTACAAGCTCCCAGCTTTTCAGAATGCCAAATCATAAAATGACTGCTTCACGACTGATTTGAGAGCGACTGCCGATGCGAAAACCGCTGTGTGAGTTCGAAAAGTGAGTTACAGTATCGCAGGGCTGAAGAGAATAAATCCTTTATCTTCTGATTAAAGGCTTATTGTTAATCGCTGCGTTAATTAATGCCTCTCGCGTAACATGCAAGTCAATTTAAAGGTAAAGTCAAAGACAAGTTTCAAAATGTAAGACATTATGAGCGTTTTGATATACGTGAAAGATTTTGTTTATTAGAATGCAGCTTACACTAATAAAGATTGAGATTTGCGATTTTGAGATAAATGGATGTAACAAAAGCGTATTTACAGCGATGGCAAAAGCCGTATCCTGGCGAACGCTTCAGGTTCATCTCCATAGCCTAAAGTGTGGTCACGTGGAGGCAGATCATCAGCCGCGATTAAGAGTATGATCAGCTTGCGCAAGTCACACTCGAACCAGACTTGGAGCTGAGCACGCGCAGGTGGCCGCTCTCTTGCCCGCTCGGCCCTCTCCTGTTCCTACGTACACATCGATCTATCAAATTCTAAGATATAAAGGCGGAGAGTATATACAATGTGGTACACTATGTTGTCTAAAAGGCGTTTCATAAATAAAAACCACATTGCACATACTCATCAGACACGTTTTTAGTCCAAAGTATAGAAAAGGGACAAAATGAAATTAAATAAAAGGATTTATAGGAAAATCTAAATGAACATTTCCTGGGTATGCGTCATTCAACCGTAACATGCAGACGACTGTCTTGCATTTAATATTGTGAGTCTGTTCACTCACAAAGTCATTAAAATAACATGCTCGGGCTTAGGCTTTCCATACAATAAGTAATAAAATCTGACGTTCTCGTCCGCCATGCATAAAGCTGATCATGCTGAACGGTTGATAAGCCGAATTTTATGTTGACATTTTATGCTCTTCTAAGAATTTAATATGGTCCGAGTAATATCTAAACTAATTAATATTCTAATATTTTTGCATTAATAGCATCTACTATATTGTCTTTAAGTAATTCCAATTGAGGCGGAATATTTTATTAAGCGAACTATAGCCTTTATGCATGTGCATCTTCTATAGGACTACACAGTTCCTAACAATGTTAATGCGTCGCGTCATTTGGAAAACGACACTTCTAGCTGTAATGTGAATTTTTTAATATTACTTTTTGTGTTAAAGGTAACGTTTTCGGTTTTAGACCTCGGGGTAGCGGAGTAAGTCATAATTTATATTGGCTTTGAAACCTATAATTGACCATGTTACATGCATATTATGAGTTAGTTGAGTGTGAAACGTTTGAAGCACGAGTCGGTACATGGCGTCACATCACGTAAGCGGTAGTGCGCGCCTGTCGCTCAAGGTTTTCGTCTCGCGGGGCCTTCAACGCCCAAAGCCCCTAAATTCTATTGCGAGCGACTCGGAACATTGTGCATCACACTACGCTATAGCAAGACTCGGTACAGACACTTGTTCAAGACAGGACGGAACAAACAGATGCTGCTTCCAGACCAAGTGCTTTCGCTACTGTTCTCACCTCGGCTCGTGTTGCATTATTTGGTAGGTCCCATCCATTGTTTCTTTTGTTTTGTTTTGCGTGTATGAATATTAACGGTTTCTGTTACTGAAACCATATGCTGAGAACTATCTTTGAAGTGGGTGATAACTAAGTCCTCTTTAAGCTCAAGCGTTAGGTTCTAGCGAGACTACGGTCTGTAATCTGTGTGTCCATACAGCATCGTGTATGTCGATGTCCTACGCTACCATCGAGCACTAAGGTGCGCTTGCGCGTCTACACTTACGTATAGATTTATCGCTCCTATATTGAATGTTCAGTCCCTAAACTTCTCTCAGCAATGTTGTTCAGAATATGAAATCGGTGGGGTGATAGAAAAAATAAAAATCTGAAAATAATTATAGGTAGAATTTTTTCACACTCGCCTCGCACGGGTAATACAAATGGTAACGTATAACAATAAATAACAAACAAACCGTAAAGTATAAACATCTTAATTAAACATAGTTCATTTATCTAAATAGTTAACAAATTCGAATAGTTACACCTACCATAGTAAATAGAAACATTCTCTTACAAATAGAGTGGAAGATGTAGGAGCAGTGCTACATTATCACAGCGGAACGGACCATCTCTTGCGCTTCGGAGAATTAATCGAAAACCAACAGAAAAATCTTTACATCAACGAGTTACAATTGTATAATCAAATAATCTACAAGATAAAGAATAATTAGGTATTAATTGATTAATGGACCATTTATATTGTAATTGTTGACATGATCTACCTTTATTTACATTTTAGAAGATAAAGAGTACGATCCAGTAATCATGGGTGGCATTGAAGCGCAGTGGAGAAGGTACCGAGTGACGTATCTACAAAGTCCATAAACGTCTTTACTCTTTGCTCACAACACATATTACAATTAAAGCCTGTATGGGTATTATACCGGGGTTTTCGGCAATTTCCGTCGGGTCGGCGACGACGGTGATTTGTCCGTTTCGGGCTCTGTGGATCAAAGGCATTTGTTATTCTCTAATCTCATACAAAACCTTGTTATGGAGTATGTTTCAGGTATGTTTCAGAATGGTTTGTATTATCATACATTTAAAAGTTATAATGGCGTGGACTGTCGTTTGGTTATGATTAAAGACTTGTCCGACTGCAAATTGTCAATTATACTATTTTTACCATACGACTTATACTAGAATACGCCTATTTCAACAAATCAATGTTTGTATGTAAAAAGATTTAACGTTGTTTGTTGAAATAGGCATAGTGTATCACAACAACGAGGAAGTTACCATTTTGAACATGAAATTTTGAGATATTTAGTCGTTTCTAAAGGAAATGCAAAAAATACCTTAAATTTCAAAGATTTTATTTATTATGGATTATATAAAATTAGATTGGACATACGATACTTCGACAAAATAAAACTAGTCTTAAAATTCAAGTGTTTTACGACTTAATTAAAAGAAAGTAAGGGATGAATTAATATTGTTTGTTTTGAGTATCTCGTGAAATATAATAAGTTTGTGAACTAATATTACTCGATTTAGTTGTGAAACTAAAATACAGTAACTTGAATCATGTTTAATAGTTGTATAACTACAAAATATATTGTTATGGAATTTAATAAAAATACAATTATGCATTCGTTTCTTGCGTTACGTTACGTTTCACCTAGCAGGGTATGACTCTGGTATAAAAATATATATATTTTTTTATGTTGTAAAGCAATTAAGACAATTCAACAAAAATTTTGAATAGGTTCTGTAAATATTGTTTGATTTTTTACACAGAGAGATCAAAGAGATAATCTTATATAACGACAAGTACTTTATATAAACTTCAGTTTTAGGTTGTTGACCTTTGAGGTCGGCAACTAATTTACGAGTACTTTGAAATTGATTACATCGTCTCATGCCTGGGGCACATTTTCGGATAGCTACTTAGCACTGACTGTTATACATATGTTGGAGCTAGTACATGTATTACGACCTATATATTATATCCTAATCCTGCGTTTCATTATATAAATAAAACAACTTCTTTGAAAAACATGTGATCACCAACTTGCATATATAAATATGAAACGAACATTGAAATATGTTTTTACAGCACAGGAAAATGAATGTGATATTCCAATTTAACCTTCGAAATGTATGTTTTAACGAATACGCCACGAACCGAATCGCAATATCCACACGTAAGCTGAAAATATATAATTAATTACAGTAATGACTTACCATAAAGCGCGTGATGATGTGGTGGCAAGGCTGCTGGCGTAGGTGGTTCCTCAATCTGATGAGCAGGTTCCACCAGCAATTCTACCGAGTCCCCCCCTCGCTCTAACACAGCGCATACTTCCTCAAAACTACGCTCTGTTAAGGATACCCCGCACCATTCTAAAACCTGTACATTTATTTATTTGAAGAAAACTGTATAAGGATAAATAAGTCTAATATTATGAAGTCTCCGCTTCCAGATAATTAGCAAATTGTCCTTTTCTCATTTCATTGTCTCTTACTCACCTTATCTCCCTGCTGTAGTCCCGCCAGATCAGCTGGTCCACCTGGCACCGTCCATACAATGACGGCTTCGCGCCGACCACTTACATCTGGCTTGCCTCCTACCACGCGCATACCAAAACCACGCGCTGCAAAGATATCAATGTTTTAAACCTAGTGTAATAATATGATACAGTATTAATTAATCTATATCAATCTATTTAACTAATTTTTAAATAAGTTAATAAAATATCCTATACAAAATTAAGACTTATTAAATTTTTAAAGGAGATTTTTAAAGCCTAAGTGACTTGCGTTTGGTGAAGTATCATGCGACTCTCATTCCTGAGGTCGATGTTCAAATTCCGGGTGTGCACCAATGGACTTTCTTTCTTTCTTTTTTACTTTCTCCCTCGTACGGTTAAGAAAAACATCTTGAGGAAGCTTATACAGAAATCTGAAACCCAGTCCTCAAAGATTGTAACGCCGTTTGTTTCTTAAGTTTAAAATTGCATTTTGTTTAAATGAGTAGTATGTTTCAGATTGTTTAAAATTCGGAAGATCTAGTTTTTGATACTACTGTAAGAAATAAAAACAGTTTAGGTGAAAGAAGAATTTGAAATCTTTTTATATATACGTACTAGCAGACTCGGCCAAGCGTTGCTGTGGCTAAGGTTTTTGTTATATTACGTAGTAGTAAACTATTCAAGGGAAACGATAGGAGAACATCAGTTATGGGGACCACCATGCTTTTTTTGGTGGTTATAATATTAAATTGTAGCTTATGTAGAACGTGGATAAATTTCAACACAGCGCCATCTGTTAGAATTGTGACTGTCAAATAATAACAAATAATTTGCAATAAAAACATATTGCGGGTATAAATTTAGATATAAGCTATCTATCTTTTAAGTTAGATCAAACTACACACGGTGGGCAAATTTGATTGAAATCAGTTAAGTAGTTTAGGAGTCCATTGCGGACAAACAACGTGACGCGTAATTTATATAGGTATATTAAGATAGTATACGATCTAATACATAAATAGTTGAACTGGTTTCCTACTTACTTAATAGTTACATACATACTTCAATTTTAATAATACAATGCGTCCTAACCGTTTAGGTTAAAACTTGAGTAATATAGCAATATATGTTAGTAGATTTTTTAGTAGTTTAAAAAGTCAGACAGATTTTATTACATATATTATGTATGGAACTTGTAATTATGTTAGTGCAAAAGTGCTTAACACAATTAGAACTTTAACGACTCCCAGTCATTCAATTTGGCACTCTTTGAAATTATTAAATTTCATACTTCGTATGTAACATCAATTAAGGAACAAAATAATTGACAAATCTTTTTTGCACTAATATGTATGATTTAGTTACTATTGTCACTTTTTCAATGACTAATGTATATTCTGAATGGCCATTGTCATAATATTTACACATATTTTTTTTTGAAAATATAAATCAATTTCAAACAACTCTCGTACTTCGTTCTTTTTTTTCATTTTCAACCCTTACGTACGACCACCCCCCACCATGCAAACAATCAGATTAACAAACGTACATTATTAAAAAACGTAGGACATGGATGCTATCAATATCTCACGCGCTCGAGTATGTCCATGGCACAGTTTTTTTTTACATTTTCGAAATTCTATAGCCGCTCCCCCCACCTATGAAAAGGTTTTTTTTACATAACATTTTTTTCTTATAATTATCTTAGCTTCGCAACCAGTAACAATAGGTCTGTATGACGCTCGAGTAAATCCACATTTAGCATCGTGGGCTCCCCTACTATACGTGTAGACATAACTTTTTATTTATCACGAAATATGAGCAATTTCAAATGACGGTTGTCAATAACATTCTTAATACTATAACTAATATATATTTGTTCCATTAAAAGATTACATAATTTATTTAAAAGAGTATTAATTAAAAATTAATGATAAAGTGAGATACTTCCTAGGCCTACCTTTCCGTCCTTGCAAGTAAAAATAACTATTAGATATTTATTATTAGATATAAGAAACAAACATACATCTATGTCCTTTATCGTTGGGGTCACGCCGCAATGTCACTCTCCGTGGAGTATGATCGTCAACATCGTGTATCACTATTTTGATGGCTTCAGCGTCGACGGACATTTGTCTCGCAGCAGCAGCCGCGGCAGCAGCAGCAGCAGCAGCAGCCGCAGATGACGACACCAAGGACTCAGCAGAATCAGATGTCCGTGACGCCAATGCTGCCATTGCACTTAAAGCTCCTGTACGCTGCTGTAAGGCGGCTATGTCGGGTCTGGTGATATATAATACATATAAAAACGATACTTGCTTTATACAGGTGATTAAACAATTATCAATACCATAACAACCTAATAACTAGGTTCTTCATATGTAAAATGAAATGGTGAGAGTTAATGAGCCTGCACTGGTTCTAGTACAAATTTAAATATAGACCCTTTTCTATTTTATTTATAGTGGTTTCCTCTTGATGATTTATAGACTGCATTATTAATAACTATTACTTAACAACAGTTCTGCTTTTCATCTGTAGGCAAACATGCTTACGTTAAAGTACTGTAATATTGTGTTGGTGTGAGTTTAAATCCCGTTAAAATATATAAAAAGTAAAAAGTAAGGGTTTTTAATACCAAATAAAAAATGATTGATTTAAATTATTTCTGTATAACATAACTCTAAGAAGTAAATGACTCTTAAAATACAATTTTAAAAAAATTAAGTGGAATTAGTTGACTCAAATACTTGAAACGGATATTATTTATAATTGCGATCAATTCAATGCTGTTAAAAGCCGTGTAGAGCGATTTCAAAGTCAATCATTTGTAAAGCTACGAGGTTCCAGCTCAATGAAACTAGATATGAATATTATATGCTATTGAAAATGTCACTGAAGCTTATTAAAATAACGTTGCATTAATATTTAAAAAGAGTTTATTTTATTTAGTTCGTATCAATAATGAGAGTCGGTAAGATAAGTAATAAAACACGAGGAGTTTCAAATTTATAAAACAAAATCAATAACTGTAATTAACTAAAGCTTGGTCATTAGTCATAAAATTGTGTTGTCTTTGGCAATTTAATTAACTGTATGTTAGCATCATTACACATTATTGCCTTCTTGGGACACATTACAAATTAAATTAATTAAAAAATCATAGACATAAGTTTAGGTAGTAACTAAAACAAAATGAAACAAAGACTACTACTTACTTAGACAAATCGGTTGAACAATATTGAATTACATTTTGTGTAAATTAAAACTACTTAGATTTTAGAGAAACTGGATAAATTGAGTAAAAGGTTTCGTTTATTCTAATCGAATCGCTAAGCAGTGAGTATAGTACGTACAACTGACTGCCCCGTCGTCTAATCGGCCTTTCTTCTTCCACACTGAGTCCCGAGATCTGCGGCGTGTCGCTTGGCTCAACATCAGTGCGATATGAACCGCGACGTGACCCTGCTCCAACTACATCTACTGCTGACGCCCTGGATTATGCAAAATTATTTGTTTGCATATAAACTGTACACGTATACAGGCATGTTTTAGAATGCGGCCATTTCGCGAAAAACAGTCGTGAAACTCAGAAAGCTATGAATATTATATTATGGAACGGAAGTCATATTCCCAATGTAAATGTACGAACATAACAGGTGAACTTATATCTTGATTTTATATGATAATATTTAGGATGTTTATGTTATAGATTTTGTGTTACGTTTCAGTGGCTGGTGAAACTAAATAATTGTCATAAAGAACTGGTTAATTATATTTCCAAAAATTATAGTCTTTTAAATACTTACTTCTCTTATGCAACTAGGTTGGTTTTTGATTCCCGACCCGTGATCGTCATACCATGAGCATACTATGAACGTATCAGACACGAAAACAAGTACTAGATCCTTCGTTGTGCATTAAAGCAATGGTTTTAGTAACCATTCCTATGTGTATTGATTTTCCTTTCATTAATTTGCACGACATGTGTACTGTACAAAGACGTATGTTATGCATTGAACAGTCCTGCAGAACAGATACATATCTGCAGCGGCATATTCACGCTCGCTTATTCTCAACTCTCCGCCCATAGCAAGCAATGGTGTTGATACTACACTATTGAAACAGTATCTTTTGTTATCATGGTCTCAGCAATATAATACGATACCGTTTGATGTCTTCGGTGTTAAAGTGTAGGGCCTTTCGTTCAGAAAATTATAGACACATTTTATGAACAAAACCAATTAAAATAAAAGCATTTCAATTTAAAAGTATAGCGTATTTCCATAACACTCAGTGCCTGTTTAAAAGGTAACACGTTATAAAATATTTACGCAAAAGGTGACTATTAAAAGCTCTTCCGTGTCAAGTTGTAAGTAGAGCAACACCCTCAAATTTTATGACCTAAATTTATGTCTATTTATGGAGAAACTTCGGCGAAAAATAAAACCGAAATCTTGATGTACGAAGAGTGTTCCTCATCACTCTTAGAAATCTTTACCCGAACCTCCTATTTGGTTAATTAAATTTCTATGGGCTTAAAAATATAACGGGGTTTAGGTATATATATTTTTGTATAAGAACAAGTGTTAAACAATTTCTTAATGTCAGTACTAGCGCTATAAGCTTTATTTCTAGGATCCCCTTCATACATACTTTTGCAGAAGTTACACTCATTACTTCAAACACGTAGTACTTTTTTTTACAGATTACTATAATGAAACACTAGAAAAATAAATAAATTAGAATAAGTTGAGACTTTGATTTTGTCAACGTCATTTTGTCATAGCGCTTATTACTCAGAATGTCAGATGACCTAACAATTTCACGGAACTTAGTTCTCGGGAATATGGGATTCATTTTCCGGAGCCTATATACTATTCCAATCTCGTTAGATTTGATATATTTAGCATGATTACTTCTAGTCATTGTGTGTTACATGTAACATTCTAATTACAAATAATAAACTATCGAAGCCCATAGGCTGGAAGCTTCGAGAGCAGTGCTCTGTGCCACACCCGATCGAAGGCTTTCGCTATGTCCAAACTAACCGCTAGCGCCTCCCCCTTGGACTCAATTGCCTCTGCCCATCTATGTGTAAGGTATACAAGAAGGTCACCAGCCGAACGACCACGACGAAAGCCGTACTGATAATCGCTAATCAGCTGGTGGCCCTCTAGATACCTCAAGAGCTGGCAATTAACAATGGATTCCATTATTTTGGAGAACAAGGAGGTTATAGCTATTGGGCGATAGTTGGACGGATCAGAGCGATCGCCTTTTTTTAGGGATCGGATGTATCAAAGCGGTCTTCCAGCACTTCGGGACAGTGCCGAGCGAGTACAGGTACCGGAAAAGGCGCGTTAAGACCGGAGCCAACTCAGGAGCACAAGTACGCAGCACAATTGGGGGGATACCATCCGGCCCGCTCGACTTATGAATGTCCAAGGAAGATAGTGCTTTGCGGACAGCACGTTGCCGGAATGTGATTTCCGGCATCGAAGATTCACACCGCGAAATGGTCGGTGGTGATCTCCCTCGGTCATCCAAAGTCGAGTTAGACGCGAAGAGACAGCCCAAAAGGTCAGCCTTCTCCTTCGCAGTGTGGGCGAGAGAGTCATCCTCCCTGTGCAGTGGCGGAATGGCGGGCTGACAAAAATTCCCTTGGACAGCTTTGGCGAGAGACCAGAAGGCTCGAGTCCCTGAAGGGAGTTGGGCCAATCTCTCGCCAAATCTGGCAATGTGCTCTGACTTTGCCTTAGAGATTTCCCGTTTGAAGGACCTGGAGGCTGAGTTATATGCTTTTTTAAGTTCGCTGGTATTGGCATCACGAGATTTCGCCGCTTCCGCCCATGCCTTAAAGCATTCTCGCTTTCGACGCGAGGCCGCCTTGCAAGAACGTTTAAACCAGGGCTGAGACTTGCCACCGATCGGCACCGCAGAAAATGGAATAAAGAGTTCCATGCCCTGCAGAACCACTTCGGCAACAGAGGCGGCGACGGAATCTGGAGCTTCCGGCGAAAAGCACATAGGCCCCCAAGGGTAGGACGCAAAGAAAGACCGCATCCCGTCCCAATCTGCTGACTTATAGTGCCAAATACGGCGACAACCCATAAAGCGGGGCCGTGAAGGGCGCGTAGATGGCACAGTACTCCGGACCACACAATGATCTGATGAACCCAATGGCGGGTCAACAGAGACTTGATAGTTCTCCGGATGAGAAGTCAGCAGAAGGTCCAACAAAGAGGGTTTATGACCATCCACATCTGGTATTCGCGTAATCGCAGGGACCATTTGTGTCAGGTCGTAGGCTAAAGCAAAGTCGTGAAAGGATCTTCCCGCGTGATCGGTGGTTTCAGAGCCGAGCCAATCGGCATGGTGGGCGTTAAAATCGCCAAGTATCACGATTTCAGCGGTAGGAACCCTTTCGAGCAGGGAATCTGTAGCCATTTGTATGTGCTCAATGAGTCGGTCAGTTTCGGTATTTCCACTATGGGACCTATACAGGCATGCGTAGAATCGCGGATGGTCATCGCAGTCTACGCGCAGCCAGAGGTTAGATAGGTCCCTTCCTTCAAGCGTCCCGAGGCGACGAGAACAGATATCCTCTCTGACGTACACGCAAACTCCAGCCCGCGGCACAAATGAATGTTCCAATTTGTACCCCGGGTAGGATAGGTGGGAAGTATCAGCCGGGGAGGATATCTGAGTCTCGGTAAGAAAGAGCAAGGCCGGCTTCGCAGTCTCTAGATGATAGTGGACAGCGTTGATGTTAGAATTAAGCCCCCTAACATTTGTGAAGTCCACGGCGAGTGTGGACGGGGGTGCCTTTGTATAATTGCTCCGTTTGCCCCGAGGACGATTACTATTTTTGTAGAGCGCAGAATTGCCCCCCCCAGAATACGAAGGGCAGCCTGTGCGTCCACCACCGGGTGCTGAGTGTCCCGGTGGTGGACGCCCAGAGGGGGATTCTCCACCGCGAGCGCGTGTGGTACCCCCCTGGGGTAGATTCTGTTTTTTCTGCACCTTCATATTTCTTGTGTGGGGGGGGGGGCTCCGGGAATCTCTCTCACCGCACGAAACGCGAGTACAAGAAGGCGAACCTTTTGCATCACTTCACGCCGGTTTTCTGAGAGACAGTGGTACTGCCCCGGTCGTGCCTGCCCATTTGGCTGAAGCCCGAAGGCAACAGCATGGCACTCCCACTAGGAAGGGGTTGACTGATTGCGCTGATGAAATAACCTCTGTCACAGGTTATTTCACCAGTGGGCGATGGGGTCGTCACGTCCCGACGCCGTTGAAACTTTGTATAATATAATATATAAAAGATATTATGTATACTATCTATGTATTATTGTATCTACAACATAATCTTGCAAATAAAGAATCATTATTATTATTGTACGGTTCGTGGGTCAATGGGATGCTATATATGTATAATATAGGTACATTATTGATGAGCAGGCTCTAATGCTATTTTTAAAATGCTATGCTTATAATGGTGAAAAGAGTGCAGGTACGTTTGGGTTTAGTCTCGAGGCGTAACTAAGAAAGCCTGAGTGAGCAAAATGTACAATCCTTGGCTCGTACAATTATAAAATAACTATCGCTTAGACATTGAAGACAAATTAAGCAGTCATTAAGCGTGCGAATAGAGGGACCTTAGCTTTCATCAATGAATTTTTTCTACGATTTTCACAATTAGCACAGCAATTACTAATTGCGAACATGGAATAAAAAGGAGACGGCAAAGAAACTAAAATCAACGACGCGTGTCTGATTAGATCATTGCCTAAATAAATAAAAAATAATAATACATACGCATATATCTACACTATGCTCCATAACACAGTACTTTATACGCGCACAAATTCAAATTCATAAATCATTTAATCATATACTCAAACTCAAACTCAAACTCAAAATATCTTTATTCAAGTAGGTAACCAAGTACACTTTTGAATCGTCAAGTTAAATTAATCGTAAATTTACATTTACTACCAGTTCGCAAGTCAAGGGCGTAGAGCGGGTAAGAAGAACTGGCAAGAAACTTTCCGCCACTCTTTTTAATCGCCAAGTATTGTCATACAAATTGTTTGAACTGGAGCAATTCAATCCCAAGGATTAGGATCATTTAAGTAGTCCTCAAATTTATAAAAAGCTTTGTTGATTAATTTTCGTTTAACGAGGGCTTTGAATTTATTTAGTGATAATTCTCTAATTTCGCTTGGGAGCTTGTTGTAAAAACGAATACAATTTCCATATAAGGAGTGGTTTATCTTTTGGAGCCTGGTTGGTCGTACACTCAAATTAGTTCTATTTCGCGTATTATACTGGTGAAAGTCACCATTTGTTTTAAAATCGTTTATATTTTTTTGGACATACAACAAGGCTTCAAGAATATATTGACCAGATAGTGTCATAATATTTAATTCCTTAAACTTATTCCGTACCGACTCCCTCGGAGAAACACAACAAATACCCCGAACAGCCCGCTTCTGCAGCACAAATATGGATTGAACCTCTGCAGCAGCACCCCACAGTAAAATGCCGTACGACATAACGCTATGAAAGTAGCTATGGTACACAATTTTAGCCGTGTCCTCATCAGTAAACTGTCGGATTTTCTTTACTGCATATGCTGCAGAGCTCAGCCTATTCGAAAGAGTCTCTATGTGTGGGCCCCATTGGAGTTTACTATCTATTGTTATGCCTAGAAAAACAGTTTTGTCAACAAAGTTTAGTTCACTGTCCTTAATTTTCAGGTTACCAATATCTCGCTTTACGCTAGTAGTTGTAAATCTAATACATTTTGTTTTATTCTCATTAAGCAATAAGTTATTTACATTAAACCAGTTAACTATACGAGAGATAGAATTGTTTACATCGTCCAATAATACGTTATTCCTATTCACTTTAAATAGAAGTGAAGTGTCATCAGCAAACAATACCATCTCATGAACTTCGTTGACAAAGAATGGGAGGTCATTTATGTAAATCAGAAATAAGAAAGGCCCGAGAATCGATCCTTGGGGGACGCCCATTGATACCTGCGAACCCGGAGAGGTGACTCCATTGACATGAACTCTTTGGATCCTTCCCTTTAAATATGAATTCATCAGGCTGGAAGCTTTGCCATCAACGCCATAGTGTTGAAGCTTTCCAACGAGTATATCAGGATGAACACAGTCAAAGGCCTTTGACAGGTCACAAAAGACGCCGACTCCATCATATGATTCTTCCCAGGCGTTAAATATGTCCGAAATCAACTTCACACCGGCATCGATTGTGGAGCGACCCTTAGTGAAACCATACTGTTTATTATGTAAGAGTTTATTTTTATTAAAATGTAAAGAAAGCTGGTCTAGCATTATCTTTTCAAAAACTTTGCTCAACGCAGGGAGCACGGAAACAGGTCTGAAGTTTGACGGATCAGACTCACTACCGGCCTTGAACAACGGTGTAATCTTACTTAATTTCATTTCGTCCGGAAAGACTCCACAATCGATACATCTGTTAAAAATTATAGACAATTCAGAGCTTATTACATTAATAACGGAATTTAAAATGACTGTTGACATACCCCATATATCTTTACTGTTTTTTTAAATTAATAAGCTTAAAAGTTTTAACGATATCATTACAAGTTATATGTTTAAACTGAAATTTAATATTACATTCAGGTACACATTTTTCTAGCAATGAGATCGCAGCAGCAGGTAACACAGTGTAAACTTATGACTCTTCAGTAAAGAAATACATATTAATGCTTCTAATTTTACATTTAGTGCCAGTTCTCAAATCAAAGGCGTAGAACGGAAGAGAAGAACTGGCAATAAACTCTCCGCCACTCTTCTTAATCGCCATGTTTTTTTTACACAACGTTTGTAAGGAGCTGCAACCATTACACCATGTTCCACATGACATCTTAAGTAATTAATAATAATAACATAAATTAAAAACAAAGACTTGTCATCTATTAGTAGGAGGCATGTTGAAAGAAAAATAAATCGATTTTAATTTATTTCAGTATAATCGTGATTTCGCTTTCCCACCTCCCAAAACCACATCATTACACAAGCATAGTATATGCACGTATAATGTATCAAGTGAATGTATTTGTGTTGAATGTCAAAGTTGAATTGAGTGGCTTTTACTCTAGATTAATTATTTTCGATGCAAATTGTATTTTGTTACCAATATTTCGGTAATCAAATATGCCGTAAATAAATCGAATTTCATAGTAATTTGATATCAAATAATACAATCCTAATGAAGCGTATCTATGTCATATATTAATAACAATAAGAGGGGTCCTGACTGGCATTCCATAAAATCAAATACAATCAAAATTTGTTCAGAAGTAAAAAAATCTCTCAGATAAAAGTGTATATTTATCATAAATATTTATAACGGAATTGTACCTGTTGAATTGTTTCAAAAACTTTAACTATGTGTAAAGATTTATTTAATGGCGTAAAAGAACATTGTATTTAGTAAGTAAGTTAGTAATAAGCTGTAAATCTTTCTCAATAAATGAAATAAAAAATAAAATAAATATTCCAGTTGTGTGGAACTGTACATTCTACAATTACTTAAGCAAAGTAATTATACGACTTTCATACAACCGAATGAGTCTGAGTCATATTTATTCATCCATTTGCCAAACATACGTAATAACGCTCTTAGATTCATAATCAAATTAAACAAACGCATACATACAAGACTGCTAAAAACAATTTAACTACCAAATAGGTTTATACCACTACAAAATACAAAAATCTACCTTCGTGACATCGGAGGTGGAGCAGCCAAAGCTGGCTGGTGTGGAGGTTGCTGGTCTTCATCACAGGAGTGCTGACGGGGTGCGCGAACCGACCGGCGACGTGTTGGAGTCACTGTGCTTGGTCGCCGGGACTCCACCATGGGCGTCGTGCTGCCGCCTCCCTTCAACTGCCGCCGCGGGCAGCGTCGTTAAACAACAGTCAAATTTTTTGCACATACATATGTATATAGTGATGGTGTAGATGTAATGTTTTTTATACAAAATCGTGTACGATATGTCATAGAGGTAGGTTATATAATAGTTGGTAACTGTATCATTGCTGTTTAGGCTTTTGATAAAAAAAATAGCTCATTCAAATACCTCAAGACTCAGTTACACCAAATAAAAATGGAACTTTATGTATTATCTAAGTTTTTTTGCAACCGCTATTTTTCAAGTGACATTTGACAGATAGAGGTCATTAAAGTTTCCATTCTCATTGGAATCGCAATGTCCTGCTTAAGTATATATTCATAGCATTGAGTTATTGTTTTTAAGAAGTATTTCCTAGATAATTTGAAGTTGTATTGGAAATTGTATATCTACCTAAATAAATAGAAAAGAAAGTGAGTAATTTATATTCATATAGAGCAAACATGACCGTTACGTTATGTTCACTGGTTTTATCAATCACAAATGATTGGGATTTACACACATTTGTATTACATAAGTGAAAAGTGTGAAACAAGTAAAACATTTTGACAGTAGTAGTAGTAGCGTCATACATTCGAAGATTGTAATGTTTTTGGGATAACTATTAAATGCTATTTATATTTTAAGAAATTAATTACTTTACAAATGCTTTGTGTTTTACGTCAAATGTCATTAAAAATGGTATCGGAAGACGCAACTCTAGTTTAAATAAAATAATGGTGCTTATCAGTAAATTTTAATATTATAAGTAAATTAAGCCATGACAAAGAAAACACTCAAATTATAGTATCGAAATATCACAAAAATATAATAGAAAAGGTGTTTCAAGGTTACTCGAAGTGACATAAGTAAATAAGGCAAAAGACAGGAAACGATGAAGGCAGATTTGTAAGACGTCTGACAAAAGTTGCATTGGGAAAACGTGTACTAGATTTTCCTATTTGCATCTTAAAGATATTTCTTTTGCTGCGGTTTCATAAAATGCCAGAGAATTTCAATTTTACTGAACTTGGTCTGTTTGATACTACAGTTGACTTCCTATGTAATATTTAAGTATTAAGATACGAATTTATTTTAAAAAACATATATATATAGTATATATATTTTTTTTAAAATAAGTAGACAAAAGCAACAATTGCTTTTAAATAAAGTCTGTCTATTTAAATGAGTTTAAATTAATTGAATATAACTATAGTGAAGTGTTGATATAGTTTAATAATATTATTTTAATATTGCGATCAAATATTTATATGTTTATAAATGAAGGCGTTTTTGTCAGATAAAAAGAATTCTTATTTAAAATAATTGTGTATATAAATATTATTATTTTTGTCTTAATATATCATTTCAAGTATACTTGACACCTGCGTATACCTTTACCTTTTCCAATTCTTTAAGTGAAGCGGGTGATACGTCTGAATGTCGCCGTAATTCTGGCGATCGTGGTGGAGCCAGGGCAGTGCTGCTGCCCCCACTACCCAGGCGAGCTTCTGAATGTCTTCGTTGTAACGCCTCTAGTACTGGTACATCCAGTAAGGAATCCGTACTGTCTTGCGCCGCTGGTGGTAAGCGCGGTGCGGCTTTTCGCCGACACACTGAACACCGCCACGAACTCTGACGAATTTTGAATTTCAATCGAGTATATTAAGATTTTTCCGGGGAAATATAAACAAATTATAAAGGACGCTAGAATTATATTATTTTTATAAAATATAACCTTTATATTTTATGAGACTAACTAAATCAAAGTCATGAAATAAAATAAAATAAAACAAAACTTTTTATATAAATAATACAATACTATTGTATGTTCGCATTTGATATAAATAAAACTATAGTATTAAAGTAAACACAGGAAATAAAAATAGTTAATCATAGCAAACAATAATTATATTTAGAAACTCACCGACTCCTCTTCACTGGCTGGCTTCGAGTATGAGGAGCAATCCTCACAGACTCTGTGCTGACACCCATTACAAATGTGAAACACCTCACCCGGCTTTAGAGCTTTCAGGCACACTCGACAGGCTCCAGCTCGGGATGGTGCTTTACCCGCTTCACTGTTTTGTATCATTGTTCGAGTGAAACCAATAATGAATCATGTTTGCTTTATTTATTTTGTATTTTTATAACGATTGAACTCAAAAACTACCGGACAGATTTCAAAAATTCTTTCACCATTATTTTACCCGCTTTTCATTGTTTTACGAACGTTATTGTTGAATTAAATATGTTGAACAATATATAGAGTGTATAAGAGGAACTTTTCTATGTTTAATAAACTCTTATTGGTATCTAAGACGCTTCTAGACGTGTGCTTAGATTTAGATAGATAGGCAAATTCTATACACAAATATCAATATATTTTTTATTTAGTTAAAATAAAGAAACTATTGTAAAAGAATATAAATTTAAGTCGTCCAACGAGATAAAACGTGAAACGTCTAAGAAAGTTATCCGAGCTATTTCCGTTGTCAGTAATATGAACGACTTGAAATGGATATTACTTAATTTCAGTTTCTCATTTAATGATATCAAAGATAATAAAATAAAAACTGGAAATCTGCTTTCCCGTCGAGATGTTTCTGATGCACTTGTAATTAGACTTCAGTGTGGTGCAAAATGTAAATTGAATGAAAATTTTAGATTGCTATAGAACAAATAAGTAAGAAGTTTTAAAGTAAGTTTTTAATGAACATAGCTAACGCTCAATACAAAGTAATTAATTGGAATATAATAATTTAATTATTTTATCTTGGTATTTTTAAACAGTACTAGTACAGTTTTGTCTTCTGACGGCGTACGGCAAATGATTTTGTCTTCTCTATGAATGTATCTTACCGTTCAGTCTTCGCAGTTTTCGTTAAAGGCGGAGGTTGCGCCGGCGGAGGGGTCGGCGCAGGTTCTACGCTCGCCTCCGTCACCACAGATCGAGGCCCCAATTTTGTTACTAAAACAGTAACTGATGATAAACATTTCACGTAAACTTACTCTTTCATTGCCTTTAATAAATTTCTTAGGATTTCTTAGGCTTCCTTAGGCTTAGACACCGGTCTATTTCGCCTCCTCATAAGCCTCTAATAACAATTTAATGCTTTGTTTTTTTCACTCTTGTGTTAGTTCTTAGATAAATATTGGCGATACAACTATATAAGGATATGTAAGTTAATTAATAAGATTGTAATTCAATAGTAACCAGCTTAACTAAATGCAACATCATTTTTATTTATTGGTCGTGCATTTCCAATTGTCTTTTGTTATGGAATCATATCTATACTAATACGATAAGCTCTTTAGTTAAAAGCGCATAGGAACTACTGGTTGAACTATTAAAACAAAATATTATATTCTATAGTACATTTATGGACGAAGGCTATCACGCTGCTTATAGGATTAACGTCGATACTTGTATTTATTTAGGAATATCCTCTCGGCGATGTAGTTATTTTGAATAAGTGAATTCAAATAGACAACTCTATTTCAGGAATCCACTCACAATAGATGCGTGCCGAGGCCACCCCTGGGAGACTCTCGACGGTACTCAACTCGAATATTGAGAAATGTTCATAAATTCCTCTCTGAGCTGCTATTAAATACTCTACGTTTTTGTCTAACGTTCATAATACCTAGCTGAAATTTTTTGCCTACCACGAACCCTCGTATAGAATTTAATAATGTTCATGTTAACTCATGCGAATGTTGCAGACTATTTTGGTGTGGGGCAATAAATTGTTGGACCTACTCGATTAGTCAATCAAATGGAATTAATTGAATAATAAATTATAATATCGAGGTATTTTTTTACTTTGTATCCATAATAAAGTTCTATAATTTTTATGTCAATAAAAATTACACAATTATTATAAATTTTATAATTTAGTACAAACTCTAGGGATTATGATGACTCATTTAATGTTTTTCATAAGTATTACAAACGAGTAAATTAATATAAAAAAAAAGTAGATGACGAAAGGTATTTCCTTAAAGCATGTTGCCCCCTGCTATATTTGTTTATTCAGTAACTGCCAGTTAGAGTTCCTTTAGACAGGTATTCTTAAGACAAATGAAACTAGCGAGAGTGATGAATGGTTATTGCATAACCAAAGATAATTTTCGTGCTCTGTGGAGCTGAAGTGAGTTATAGAAGAAAACTCTTAAAATGGAAATGATTACGAATCGATGCTTATCATCAAATCGAAAATATGTAAGATTTTTTCAGTCCACTATTCCTTAACCATATTAACCTCTTCCGTGAATTAAAAAAGTTTTATGTTTAAAGTATGAATTGAAATAATGCTTTTAAATCTAAATAAAAACGTCGCATTATGAACGACAAAACAATGCTATTAATTTTGTTAGTAAAATTATTGTAAAATAATTGCGGTAACTACAGTAAAGAAATCTTTTTTAACTTAAACGTTTTAAATAATAAATTTTTCTGGCTATATTCAGGTATGTTAAATTTGGAAGCTAAATAATCAGTTCGGGTTGTCCAAACCCTGCCCAATGCATCTACCGTTTTATCGACTCTTCCGAAATTATGTAGAAATAAAATTCGTCGATATAACTCACCAAGATAATTAACGAACATGTCTATCAGTCGAAGACGCAGGCTTGATCTCGTTATAAACAAATCATAAAACTTGATGTAAGATGTTCTTCGCATATTTGAACTCGTTAAAATCATTAGGTAAACAACTTTTGACATCGTAACTTTGGCAATTATAAATTTCTAATATTTGTTATTAGAAGAACAAGAATATACATTGTATCGAAGCGATAGCTAGGATATTAGAAGAAATGTGCGTTTGTTATGTATAAACATTTAATGAAATGTCTTACTTCGATGCTGTACTTTAGAAATTATAAGAATAGGAACTTGTGATACTACTGCTGCGAATGTGATACATAAATAAATTATTAATATATCTTTGCTAGTTTAGGTATTTAAATCTCTGTGCCTTCCTAAGTTGAATTTATTCTGAATTAATTAATATTTATAAAGCTTGGCTCTTAACGCTATTGTCAAATATATATTTATGGTAATCCGGATGCGAGATAACAGGTCATTTTAATTATAGTTAAGCTGTGGTGCATCCTATTCAATATAAATTCTACATGGTTTAAGACACCTTCATACTCGTATGCTGGTTCGGATGAATTTTATTCAAAAATTGTTCGAAGAATACTTTTTCTAGTTGCAACTAATTTAAGTAAATATGATCAAAATGATTACCTCTATCTTGTGCTGTCAGAAGTGAGGACGACAGCGTTTGCCGTAGCTTCCCAAATGTCCCAGGACTGTCTATTTGCCCCGGGACACCATTTGATGTTTCGTCTGCCGCCACCATCTTAAAGAAATATGTAGGTTTTTTTTAGAATAATATTTTTTTAACAAGTGGTTTTAGTAAATGTACTACATGAAGAATTGATGAACTAATGAATAATAATAAATACATAATCTGCTGAATTGATTTTAAAGACTCATGAAGCCGAATGTTAGATAGATTACACATAAGTTATCCACATTGATCCATAATTTAAAATAGTAATTATAACTGATATAAACGAAAGATCATAAAACTCATAGCAATCATAATCCTAGAGATAATAAAAGCTAAGTACTTTGTTCGAAAAGTCCGTGAACTGAAAGTGTCGTACAGCAATAAAGCTCATCATACAAAAATAAAGACAAGGTAATATGGTCGTAAATTTCAAAGCGAGCAACAGATGGAGAACGAGGTACATCAGACTGGGGGAAATCAATATTGTCGGCTCCCGAACTCTGTAAGCGTTTTATTGCTACGGCCTGCCATCACGACTTGGACATTTTGAAATCCGAATGTCCTATTCATTTTATTGTTGTTATTTAAACAACGTAATGATTTAAAAATACGTTAAGGCTATATTATATAGTCAGATATATACGTTTAAATTTAAATGTAAATGAAGAATTGCGCGAGAGTGTATATATCACTTTAGCGTAAGTAAATGATGTCGTACCACTGGTATTCTTAATCCTGTATAGTTACTTATTCTGTATAGTACATAAAAATAGATTCATTTTGTATTGATGTTCATTCTATGTGAAATAGAAAACAGATCCTTAGGTATGGAGTTGTAAAGTAAATTGACACCATTGTTAGCTTCACAATAGTTTTGTGAATATCGAATCTCTACTATGACAGCTGATTTAGGTATGTCCTCTGGGACAGTGTGCTGACCACAAACCTTATGTATTTTGTTTATCGAATTTTGCGACCGCGTTTCTGTCTCCGCTTTGCCCGAGGTTAAATTGATAACAAAGTTTGCAGATGCAATTATTTTACCGCCCTGTGTTGCAAGGATCTGTGTCAAGTGAAAAATAGTTAACTAAGCGAATTAGAGTGGCCTAAAAGGATTTTATAAGGGAATCACGACGAGTTTTATTACGGTATGGCAATTTATGATATCAAAGAAGCTTGGTAAAATGTCAAACGTCACATTGACATATGGTATTTCAATATTGACACGCAGCTGTGACGGCTTCTTTGTTGGAGTAAACATGTAGTTAAAGAGACCAACATTCATGACACAAAAGACAAAAATGTTATTAAGTTTCTCTGATTTACTTATATTTTTGGTAGGAAAATACTGTAATCGTATGAAGACTGAAGTAATATAATAGTACATGGGACAGATACTTTTCTTCTAAGTAGGTAAAATCTATTTTTAGGCATGCCAATTGCTTTGCAAGTTTTTATTTTAAAAAGTATTAAAAGTGTATTTAAAAATTTACACAGGCTGCGGTTGAAAACGCGAGCTTTGGCTTAAAAATCGCATGACACACCGTAATCTAACTTGAGAACTTGTTTTTGCTTATCCGTGTAAGTTTTCTAGCGTCCCCATTGTTCTCGGCCTCCTCTAACATGCCTCACTGAATTCTGTCACATGCTACCATCCTCCTGTGATAGCCAATTCAGTTTTGTTTGGCCCTATCGTTGGCGAGAATCAAGGCATCAAGCGTTTCACATCTCTAAGATACGTCATGTGCATAATTTATACTATCTTAAACAATATAAAAATATGACACTGTATCAGTTATATCTTTTACGAGTCATTTCTAAAGTAAAAAAGATGTCGACACGATATAAAAGTGATCTTTGAGACAAAGCTTATCGATACAGTTTTATAACACTCATAAAATTGGTTTATCGTATGACGAGAAAGATAGGGAGGTTCAAAACATATTTTTGTAGGATATGTTAGGTTTTGGAAATCTATAAGACTAAACGCATTTTAAAGATATAATCTTTATCTTAGTTCTTGTGGTTGTTATTAGGAATTGCTTACTAAAACCTATTAGGTTTTAGTTTGTTTCTATTCGTTCAGATATAATTTTTTTATGAAAAATACAAAAATTCTAATGGAGTATTTCAGGAATTTGAATCGGTAATAAATTTAAATCCGTTTAAAATATTTTAAAATCACCGTTTAATCTTCACAATTTAATAAGAGTTTGTTAAAAAGTTTTATATGTTTGCCCGAAAGGTATCGGTTAACTCGTGAAGTCCGCCAGCTGTCTTTGTTACATACTGTAAATATTTGGTTTTCAAATTGATTTTACACGTAATAAAAATCTGACACAGTTGCGCAGATGATTTTTGAGGTAAAGTAGGTCATGAGCAATCGGTGGTCATGACCTGGTGACGGGTGGGGTTTGGAAGGACGAGGGGTGGCTGTATGACCCACTTGTTGCCTTACATTATAACTCTTAACTGTCATAATCAAATTATTTACCTGATATGACTGAGATTACTTATATGATTATTAATTGACGTGTATATTAAATTGATATTACGCTACGAGCTACAATAAAAGTTGATATATTTATGCAGAACACACAGACGAATAAGAAGTAATAGCTACGGCATTTTAATATTTGACTAGTAATTAAAGCAAAAATTATGTAAATTTTTGACTTTAATTATAGCAACATTTCTGCATTAGAATGTTAGGCCCGTTTCTAGATACGAGAGCTGTCAAACCTTTGACGGCGCCTTAAACTTTAAATTTTATTTAAAAATATGGTAATTTTTTGGTCTTGTCTCATTAGTACTAGCTAATTTAACAGCGTTTTATGCTGAGAGGTGTTTATAAGTGAAACATTAAATGTTTTATTATTGAGTAAAAAGACTTCAAGCGTAATTTAATTGACTTCTAACCTACTAAATGATCATTAAACGTCTATAAATAGCAGCCATTGTGGTTCATAAAACAAAGAGCAATCGCTGGGTTCGTGTCGGTGACGCGTAATTACTGTGCTTTGTTGTCCCTTCGTGGTCCCTTGTGATACAAGCATGCATTCCAATTATGACTACATAAGATGTCGTTAGTCAGAGCTTAAAATTGAAAAAACAATTGCATGCATTTCTCGTTTGAAGTACGGTTTTTAATTGTACTTAGGGTCGATTCGACCAAACTTCAATTTATACACGAGTAACTACCAGGAATAATCTATTCCATGATTTTAATCTTGAGTAAATCCATAGTCGTTTCTCCACGTAATCGATAGTATAATTGCGCTAGGAATAACAATACGCGAATAGCAAAGAGAATGGTGAACGAAAATAAAACTCGGCAAATAAATGTTGTTCTACAACGGGACAGTGTAAGAGCATACACCATGTCAACTCGATTTTGCCGTATTATAGTGTGAAAAAGTAGCTTTTAACAGGTGTCAAACGACAACAAAAAGTTTTTATTTGTTGTTTGTTTGAGGCTTTAGTCTAAAAAGGAACTTCTGTTGAGCCTAGTTGAACTTCATTCTAATATTATAGAAAATAAATCTACTAAAAATAAATAAATAAATAATAAATTGTTTAAACGTTTCTTTATACAATGCCAGACTATTAATTTAGTGCGTTGCGTTGACTTGAAATTAAAACGAAACTCCGTGCGAAACGGCGGTATAGTAACAATTCCCGAATAGGCCCACTATACTTAGAATTTGTAGATAGTAAAACGTAAAATTGATTTACTCTCGATTAACTGACGATTTATTCTAAGATTAAGATTTATTCTTGTTTGGTCGAATCGACCCTTAGTAGATTTATTTAAATTTTAATTACGTCCTTACGATCAACTATATTCTTTTGTTTATCAATCGTGTTCTGTCGTGAATGAGAGTCTGTGTTTTTCAGTTTTAGTTACGTATCCACACTAAATTTTTGATGTGAAACATCTATAGCCGCACGTAAAACCGATTTCTGGCGTGGCGACGCATGCCGTGGCGACGCGCGTATGATGGTATATACTGTCTATATGCAGTAGTGTGTACGGTTTGTGTATTTCGAAGTCACTGATTAAACGAATTAAGTAGTCACGATTTCAAATAAATTCGTAACTTTTTGTATTTATTGAATATAAATGTTTATTCAATAAATAGTCATCGTTATCTGAAAAAAAAATTGTAATATTTTATTTTATCATTATAACATATTTAATTCCTATCACAATCTGTTCTTTTCTGCATATTACTTTTACAAAATAATGTCGATGTTTCACATCTGCCAGGCGTCCCGTGACGGCTCACATTTTTTTTAGGCAAGTTATCTATTTGGGATTTTTTTTGACTAGAAAACGCCGGGGTTAATAAATTAATTCCAATATCTCGAGAAAGTAACAACCTCTAATAAACCAAGGAATGTTACTTTTAAGTTCGTAGCAAACCCGAGATGTAAGTTGTTCGGGAGTTCGAACTACTTGTAAGAAACTTTACCGAACAAAATAAAACAGTTTTGCCTTAAAATAGAGTAACACATTAATACCGACTCTGTCTGCAAAGATTGTTAAATTTACAATTTAACGCATTTAAAAGCTTACGTTTATACTTGTGTACAAAAAAATTCATCAACATAGATAAACGTGAATTTATCAAATTAAGACTTTTTTTGCTGACCATTAGTGATGTAAAGTAGTCATAATAAAAATTATACCAGTTTAAACTTTCATACAAATCACTTACCTACACTAACGACAATATCACAGTTAACGAGTGACTAAATAAAGAAGAATAAATCATTGTTAGTGTCTCGCTTAGCAGATCGCAAGTCGTGTCTTTAGATGTAAGTCTTCTCTATAAGGTACGTATTCAAAGACGATAAAGCTCAAATCCAAATGTTTCCGATACGAGAGTCATAAGGTTAAGTCTCGGATCTGAATCTTAGGGAGGCAGAAAGGAACTCCTTATTGGTCCTTATTAATCTGTACAAAATACAGCCCTATTAATGAAACTACTTATATTTTCTTGAACAAAAACATTAACGTAATCTAGCAAATAAGTAAAGGTAGGAAAAAGAAAAACTAATTT